CTCTCTGTCTCCAGATGTCTATGTATTTCTGTTTCCCTGCTTCAAGTTTCCACTCTCTGTGCTTCCTCCCCTGTTTGTGTGCAGCTGAGTCAATCCAGTTTCTGTTTTATTTCTGTTTCTCTCTCTCTCTCTCTCTCTCTCGCCTCTGCCCCTCGCTATTACTTCTGTGTGTGTGTGTGTGTGTGTCTCTGGTCAATCTGATCCTCTGTATCTCACTCCCTGTGTGTCTCTCACTCGTTGGATCTCTCTCTCTGTCTCCCACTCTCTGCCTCTGTCTCCCACTCTCTGCCTCTGTCTCCCACTCTCTGCCTCTGTCTCCCACTCTCTGCCTCTGTCTCCCACTCTCTGCCTCTGTCTCCCACTCTCTGTGCCTCTGTCTCCCACTCTCTCTGCCTCTGTCTCCCACTCTCTGTCTCCCACTCTCTGTGTCTCTGTCTCCCACTCTCTGTCTCCCACTCTCTGTGTCTCTGTCTCCCACTCTCTGTCTCCTCACTCTCTGTCTCTCCCTCCGACTTCGCCGACTTTGTGACACGACTGTTACAATCGTTCCCAAGCAACCGCATTCCGTGTAAAGCGGCCGCGCGTTAGCCCGTGGATTTCACAGCGAAAGGAAATCCCTGGGAATGAGTTGGGGGGAGAGGGAAAGATCAGGGAATCAGGGAATCAGGGAATCAGGCACCACAGGGAGGCACCAGCCCTGGGGGTGGGAGCCACCAGCCCTGCCACCAGCCCTGGGGGTGGGAGCCACCAGCCCTGCCACCAGCCCTGGGGGTGGGAGCCACCAGCCCTGGGGGTGGGAGGCGCCAGCCCTGGGGGTGGGAGGCGCCAGCCCTGAGGGTGGGAGGTACCACGCCTGCCACCAGCCCTGGGGGTGAGAGCCACCAGCCCTGGGGGTGGGAGGCGCCAGCCCTGAGGGTGGGAGGTACCACGCCTGCCACCAGCCCTGGGGGTGGGAGCCACAAGCCCTGGGGGTGGGAGGCACAAGCCCTGGGGGTGGGAGGCACAAGCCCTGGGGGTGGGAGGCACAAGCCCTGGGGGTGGGAGGCGCCAGCCCTGGGGGTGGGAGGCACAAGCCAAGTGGATTGCAAGCTATCATTAGCTATATGGGGGCTCCAGATCATTCAACGTTCTCGCAAACCTGGTAGCGCTGAGAGAGATATTCACACTCACTTACACACTGATATATATATCACACTAATGCACACATCATACTAATGTACATTAATGCATCATATCTCTAACAACAACATATTGCATTTAGATAGCGCCTTTCAAGTTGGGAGGACACTGTCAGCACCTGAATTGGGGGTGGAATCAAGAGTGGTGGAGGGCGTGGGGGTGGGGGTGGAAGTGGAAAAATGACCGAAGGCATTATCAAATAGGAAGGTCCTGAGACGGGCCTTGAAGGAGGCAGGGGAGGGAACGTCTATATTAAACGCATAAATTACACACGCTGACACATCAATTTATAAACATCCGTATTATACTCAAACACAGATAGATGATCCAAATTTTACACAGAACCCAATGATACCCATGTACATCAGCACTGATACATCCACTTAAACCTTTATACAGCAACCACATAAACACTAATACACACAGATCCAGAAACACTGATAGGCACATCTGGTCATCGATAATGAAGGAGTCAACGACAGTTTAAGATTTAGTTTATGTTCTAACAAGGAATTGGTTAACAAATCTAGATGTCTCAGTGTTTCACATAATATACTGTAAAGTGAGTTGACTCTTATTTGTGGGCAAAACGCGGCAGCCAATTGTGCACAGCAGTATCCCACAAACAGTCGTGGATTGCGTGACCAAATTATTATTGTTTTTTCATAAGGGATTATTATCAGGGGTGTGGAGTAAGGAAACTTGCCCAGGATTTCACCCTGCCGGGAATCGAACCCAGATCTCTCGCTTGCAAGGTGAGTGCTCTAACCACTGAGCTACAATGCTGAAATGCTGTACTCTGTCCAGCGCCTTGGGACGTCCTCCCGACGTGAACGGCGCTATGCAAATGTAATCTTGTTGTTGTACAGGAATCCTTATTAAGATTTTAAGATTTAAGATTATGTTTAAGATTTTAAATGGGATTGAGAAAGTAAACTCAAAACAATACAGTTGGGTGGACAGAGACAGCGAAACAAGAGAACACAGAGTTTGGATTGCAAGGGTAGCGTCTCAGAGCGCTTAACAGTGGCGGAGCCTGACTCTGATCTGGGGGGAGGCGGGAGGTGGCCATCAGCACGGTCGAAAAGGAAAGTTTTCATTCTTGCTTGAAAGAGGGGAGAGAGGGGGCAAGGCGGTGGACAGACTACTGGAGGCCAATTTTGGGACATTGCAGTGCCCAAATGCAAAGGCTGCTTCATTTGCCTACAAAATAGTCGCACTTCTGTGAAGCACTTTGAGTGTCCTCCTGAGGTGAAAGATGCAGTATTAATTGCAAAGATTATTATTATTATTATACATAATTATAATTAATGACTGGAACGGGTAACCAAGGAGGATGGTTAAGGCAAGCATGCTGGAACTCATTTAAAATAGGATAAGACGCTAAAATAGGATAAGAAGACCAACAATCCCCCAAATAAAAGTATTCATTCACTTCAGGGCTGTTTGTGGGACTTTGCTGTGCACAAATTGGCTGCTATGTTCATGCACAAAATACATAATTGTCACTGCGTGACAATTGAGGAATTGAAACAAGAGAGACCCCAAATTTGACATTGTCTTACCCTGTGAGACCATTTTCCTTTAAAATTTCAGATTGTATGGAATTGCCGAAAATTCTTAATTTCAGATTGAATTTGGAAGTTTGTTTTGTTAAGAACAGTGGAAAAACAACTCGTAAATCGAGGTTGAATTTAAGAATTTTACACGACCCTTGCGTTTTAAGACAAAAAGGTCTCACAAGCTAAGAATAGGTGGAATTTCAGGGTTTGGATATCTCAAATGACTCGACCAGAGAGTATTGAGTGTATAACATCTTATGTATGCACAACAATCTGACAATGATACAATGGTACATGAAACAATAATAATGCTAACTGGGACTGTCAATAAGACAATTCAGAAATGGCTTAACAAGACCCCCGGTGAACAAAATATCAATCTCCTGCAGAAAGTAGCTATTTTAGGAAGTTCGACCATACTAAGAAAAATAACATCCATTCATATGTAACTTGGCAGTGTTATTGGTCTGGCTGACCATCACTGAAAAACATTTAGAAACTGCCTCTATGGAGCGATTTAAACTGTAATAACATAACAATAATAATAATCTTTGCATTTGATACAGCGACTTTCATAATAATGATAATAATAAATCCTTGCATTTGATATAACTCCTTATCAGGTCATCGACACGTCTCAAAGCACTTCACAGGATAAACTGTAAAATGGAGTGACTGTGTATTTTGCAGGCAAAATGCGGCAGCCAATTGTGCACAGTAATATCCAACAAACAGCCATGGAGTGAGTGACCAATTTTATTTTGGGGGATTGTTGACCAGGACACCAGGAAAAACTCTTTTTTTGAATAAACATCCGTATTATATACACACTTACACACAGTGATACACAATGTTTATAAACATCTAAATTTTACACACAACCCAATAATACACATTTACAGCAGCACTGATACACCTACATAAACATTTATACAACCATCAGATACTTTGTGAGTGAATGCAGCAGCCAGTTTGCACGCAGCAATATCCCACAAACAGCTATGAAACGAATGACCAATTTTATTTTGGAGGATTGTTAGCCGGGAACTGGGAAAAACTCCCCTTTTTCAACAGTGCTATGAGAACATTAACGTCCACGTGAACTGGCAGATGGGACCTCGGTTTAACGTCTCATCCGAAGGTCGGATGTCATGAGGATGCCTCAAAGCTTTTCATGGAGTTTACTGTACAGTGTTGGTGACTGTATTTTGTAGGTGAAGAGATCGATTGCAATTTGTGTACAGCGACATCTCACAAACAGCCACAAAGTAAGTGAACGACTGATTTTATTTGTCGGGGTGGCTGTTGTTAGCCAGGACAACTTAGCTTAAGGAAAAGCTCAAACCTAGCTTTTTTGGCACGTGGCGAACACAAGCTGGTTAGACTCCAGCAGTTACCCCAACGCACAGTCTGGGGTCCCCAAGCCTTGGCTTTTGCCAAACTGCGCCTACGTTAGTAGGGTTGGATGTGTCCCTCTAGGGAGAGAGTGCTCAGTTCCATTCCAACAATCAGCCTCTGGAATTTCCATGTGCGGGTGGGACGCTTGGAACTCTGTTTGGACTCTCTTAAGGACGGTGATGGGTTTCCACATGTGTCGAACCCGGGTCCCTTCGCTTGCGAGGCGAGCGCACTAACCAACGGATTTCAGGGCTCCAGCAATAAAAATAACCCCGATAAGGTTTGCTCTAACTCCGTGCATGTGTGTTTGTGGGTGTGTGTGTGTGTGTATATATATATATATATATAATCACAGAATCATAGAATTATACAGCACGGAAGGAGGTCGTTGCACCCATCGTGTCTGTGCCAGCTCTTCGAAAAGAGCCATCCAAATCAATCCCATTCCCCCGCTCGTTCCCCATAGCCCTGCAAACTTGCCCCTCCACCAAGTAATTATGTGTGTACTCGTCTCCCCTCCCCCATCCATCTCTCTCTCTTTCTCTCTCTCTTTTTCCTTTGACAGAAAGAAGTGTCCAGTAGGCGGTGTGCTGTTGGGAGAAACAAGCTGTGTGCTGTGCTGTGCTGTGGGGGGAGGAAGCAGCGAGGCAGATCAGCTCTCTCTCTCTCCTCCAGGAACCTTTCGGATTTGCAAACATTTCCACTACTATTTTTGCATTTGCACTTTTGCACGCTTTGGGAGGAGGGTGGAAGGGAGTAGAGGGTGGGAGGGGGAGGTTCAGTTGATATATATATATATATATATATGTGTGTGTGTGAGCGAGTGAGTGAGTCAGTGCTGTGCCTTGTGTGTGTGTTTTTTATTATTATTCTTTTTCGCGGAAAAAAAAGGGGACGAAATGTCGACCAGCCGTCACTACAGCGAGAGCCGAGCCATCCCCACTCGCCGAGTGGTCCTGAGCGACTCCGCGCAGCTACCTCATGACTATTGCACCACTCCCGGAGGCACGCTGTTCTCCACCACTCCAGGAGGTAAGGGAGAGGGGAGTGGGGGGGGGAAGAAAAAAAAGGGGAAACCGCCCCCCCCCCCCTCAAAAAAAATTGCAAAAATAAAACATGGCTATTTCTGCCTGACACACACACACACACACAGTCACAGACACACTGACACACACACACACAGTCACAGACACACTGACACACACACAGTCACAGACACACTGACACACACACAGACACACACAGACACACACACACAGTCACTGACACACACACACACAGTCACAGACACACTGACACACACACACACACTGACACACACACACAGTCACAGACACACACACACAGACAGACACTGACACACACACACAGACACACACACACAGACACTGACACACACACACACAGACAGACACTGACACACACAGACACTGACACACACACACAGACAGACACACTGACACACACACACACTGACACACACAGTGACACTGACACACAGACACACACAGACAGACACACTGATACACACACAGTGACACTGATACACACAGTGACACACACAGACAGACTGACACACACACACACACACACACAGTCCTGTTCCCTCTGGGCAATGGAACAATAAAGTGACACATTGTAATGATATAACGAGGGTTTTATGATGATTGTATTCATTTACACTCGAGAGAGAGAAGAGAAAGAAAGATCATGTCACATAGTGTGTGTGTTGTGTGTGTAGAGAAAGAGGTGGGGGGGGGGGGGGGGAGAGCTTGCATTTAAACACAAGGCCACATTTCTCTCTCCTCTTCTCTCCCCCTCCATATAAATCAAATACAATTAAATAAATTCAATCAATAAACACACACACACACACACACACATGCATACGTACATACACACTTCAGAACAAAGTTCGAGTTTGCAAAAGATTTGCATTGTCCCTTTTTCTTAAAAAAAATGGACGTAGAAAGATGATTGTTTTTTTTAAATGTTGTTGCTTATGGGTCGAGTGAAATTCACACTCTTTTTTTTCTTTGCAAGAATTAAAACTGAAATGCCTGCCAAGACTTTGCTCGTTACAAACTGCCCCCTCCCCCACCCACCCACCCACCCAGGCTTCGGATTGAGCCTGGACTTTTAACCAGAAAAAAATTATATATAATATATATATGATATAAAGAAAAAAACTTTTGCAACGATTCCCTGTGCAAGATTTTTACTCCCCTACCCCCACCCCCCCCCCCTCCTCTCTCTCTCCCCCCCTCCTGATCCTCTGCAAATGCAAGGGTCGAGGAATGTTGGTGCTGTAAATGGAAATAGAAACATTTTGCAATTGCCAGTGTGTGTGTATATATATATATGTGTGTGTGTGTGTGGAGGGGGGGAGGGAGGGGGGGAGAGAAGGGGGTTTGGGGGTCGCTTTCAAAAAAGTTTTTTTGCAGACCCAAGTGAGTTGCAAGTTTTGCAAGTTTCAAAGGTGAATGCAACCCCCTCCCCATATTGCATATGTTAGAAAACTGGAGGATTTGGGGAGGGAATCGACTCCCCCCCACCCCCACCCCACCCCAAAGCTGGGATTTATTTTACACTGAACGTACATGTAGGTTTGCATTCTTCAGTCCAGGCCAAACCCGTGATCTCCTTCCTCTTTAACGTGTAAACAACACCCCAGTCAGTGCAACGCGAGGCGAGCGTTGCCTCCCCCTTCCCTGTTGCACGGATGGCTCTGACCATTTGACAGACTCGGTGCAATTCGGGTACTGTAGTCTGGTTTCCTTTGGGTGCCACCTGGTGCCGTGCATTGTGGTTAAAAGGCTGCAGAGCAGAGCAGAGAGAGAGAGAGAGACAGCAGAGGAGCTGCTTTCTGTTCTCCCAAGTCAAGGGGGGCATCGCGTCCGGCTCCGAGCCGGTTGGCCGCAGAATGTCGGAGCTTTAAGAGACCGGGCTTGGGGGAAACTACCCCACACCCCCCACACACACACCCCCAGAGCGTGCGTTGGGGTAACTGCTTGAGTCAATAACCAGCTGAAACCGGCATTGAGCTTTCCCGCTGCTTGTCCAGCTCGGACCACCCTACCCGTTACGGTCTCTGGCTTGCGGGGAAAACAGTAGCTGAGTGGGAGGATTCCCTGCCCTCGGTAACTGGTCTGCCCTTCCAAGACCTGCCGATGAGCCAGTTCGGTTCCAAAGAGACCCCACTTAACTCTACTCCTCGCCGACAGCCTCTCCCTCCCCAGGAGGATAATCAACAGGAATCCCAGTTTTAAGATGCCAATCAGTTGTCCTGAGTGAGCAAGGATAATAGCAATAATACGTGCATTCGATATAGCGCTCTTCACATCTTCTAGACGTCTCAAAGCGCTTCACAAAGCATACTGTAAAGTAAATGGTATATTTGTGGGCGAAACGCGGCAGCAAATTGCGCACAGCAGTGTTCCATAAACAGTCGTGGATTGAGTGACCAAATTATTGTTTTTTTTTGAGGGATTATTATCTCCGGAAAGGCAACCCGCCAATCGACTAGCAACCCGGTTCCTACTTACTGCTAGGTAAACAAAGGTGTGTGTGGAGTAAGAAAACTTGGCCAACATTTCGCCCTGCCCGGGAATCGAACCCAGGTCCTCTCGCTTGCGAGGCGAGTGCTCTAACCACCGAGCTACATGTTGTTGAGACGTCTCGTAGCGCTTCACAGGATATATTGTAGAGTGTGTAATCAATTGCGCACAGCAGAGTCCCAAAAACAGTCGTGGATGGTTGTGTTTCAGGGACCCGGATTATATACGACCGGAAGTTTCTGCTGGAGTGCCGCAAATCTCCGGTCACGAGGACCCCTCCTCTGCATCTCCCCCACATACCGGGCGTCACGGTGCTCAGCTCCACAGAGAACACTAAAGCCGAGCCCAATAACCTCAAAGACGGAGAACGCAACGGCCGTGAAGGGAAATCAGCGACCGGTGAGAGCGCAAGCCCAACAGTCACAAGTTTTATCGGAATAATAATCTTTGCATCCGATATATCAAGTTGTTGAGGACGTCTCAAAGCGCTTTGCAGAATATATTGCAAAGTGTATTGATCGTGTATTTTGTGGGAAAAATGCACCAGCTAGATGCACACAGAAGTGTCCCACAAACAGCCGTGGAGTGAGTAACTAGTTTTATTTTGGGAGATTGTTGGCCAGGACAATGAGAAAATCTCCCTTGTCTTTTCAAATAGTGCCATAGGATCTTTCACATCCATCTGAACAGGCAGACGTTTAACGTCTCATCCGTAGGACCGAATAAAGTTTAGTGCAGTAGAGGCTCTGATATTGCTGCTCATTGGGACTGATCCCCTGTCCCTAACTGCCAGTGTGTCTTTCTCTCTGTATGTATGTGCCTCTCCACAGTATTTGTGTGTGTGTCAATCACTGCCTCTGTATGTACGTGTGTGAGAGACTCCGCGTATCATTGTATATGTGTGTGTCTCACTTTCTCTGTCATTGTTAACGGCTGGTTCTCTCTTTCACTCTTGCTGCCTCTGAGTGAGCAAGTGAGCTAGACTCGGTGGTTGGGGGAGTTGCAGTTAGCCTGTTTACCTGTGTTAAGGAGGAAAAATCAAACCTCTTGACGTTCACTGCGATCCAGAATGTGAATTGTGCAAACCTTCCATTGCTAGTGAATTTCTATCAGTCGTAATGCCCGTAATCTCGCGCTACACCTGTGCTTATTCCAGCTCACCAGATGGCCCCTCAGTGTTTTTTCACGTGGCTTAACATAAATCGCCTAATCAACCCTGCTGTCTTAAGAACGACCATGTGAAGGGTGCGTGTGCTGCCGAACCCATGATTCATGATGCAATTTGGTTCCTAACGTGTCGCAACAGATCTCCCAAGCTTTCTTGCCTAACCCTGAAACAGGATCAATGCAGGGCTGTTTCTCTTAGGTTACACCTGCACGCTTTAAACCCTCATTCCATCTGCAATATAAATGGGTCGCTACTCTTCGTTTAGCGAGGAAGTAACGGAGCCTGTCTGAGCACACTACACTTCTAAATCATTTCTCGTCTCCCTCCAATCAGGGGCACTCTCTTGTTATGAGCCCGGCTCATACGCTCACACACATGTACAGAGGCGGTGAGAGAGAATGAGAAAGACAGACACTCGCAGAGGGAAACAGTTACACCCACACGCACAGAGGAAGTCCACTTGGCTCGGTTGGCAATGTTCTTGTCTCAAGGGAAGGGATGTGGGTTCAAGCCCCAAGTCATGGCTGACACCTCTCTCTTTCTCCCGCTTTTGCTATGTTCATCGGCGGCCGCCCTTTCAGTCTTTACGCCACGAAACTCTCAAACTCATTCCCTCAATCTCTCCGCCTTGCCTCCTCCTTCCCCCGCTTCAGGTCACGCGCCTGAAGACCTTCCTCTTCGACTGTGCTTGCGGTCATCTCCCCCACCCCCCCCCACCACCATCCCTTAAAGATCCCATAGCACTATTCGAAAAGACAAGGGAGTTGCTCCCGGCGTCCTGGTCAACAACCCTGAAATAAAATTGGTTAACTCATCCCATGACCGTTTGTGGGACGTTGCTGTGCCAATTGGCTGCTGCATTTCACCCACAAAGTACACAGTCAATCCACTTTGCAGAATATACTGTGAAACGCTTTGAGACATCTGCACGACGTGATAAGGCGCTATATCAAATGCAAGTATTATATCTAATCGATGTATATTAGCGCAACTGTTCAATGAGCTTCAGCTCTGCGCCCGCTACAAGTTACTCCTGACTCAAAAGATTAAAAGGTTTTTTTTCTCTCCTTTTTATTTTTGCAGGGGACGAGTCGCAGTTTGAAATGGACATCTAGGCTTTCCATGCCACTGCCCATTAATTCCACTCCACACTTCATGCATCAGTGCCTTGACTCCCAGCTCCAAGCACACGCCGGACACCTGCTGGTGGCTCTGGAGACCTCTTCCTTGCCAAGAGTCCGAAACCCTCATCCACTGCCCTCTCATCCTTTCCAACACAGAGCAAAGTGCACAAGATCCCAAAGACCCGCCATAGTAATTTAGCCTCTTGGTTTTTATGGTTTTCTTTTAATTCCTGCTTGGAAAATTCTCAGGAATTTCATCTCTCTCTTTCCCTATTCCCCCATGGGATCAGCATTGTTTTACTACTTATGTTTTTAAAAGTACCCGAATGTATTGAAGAGCGAGCTTTGAAGCAATTCACAGGCAGTCGTTGCTGGAAACTTGTGTTGTTTTTTTTAAGCTATGTTGGGAAAAGGATTTTGGAACGAAACCATTCTGTTGTATCTCACTTTTTTCCTTAACTGTATCAGATGCTAGATAAGCATTGTGTACAGTGCTGTGAAACATCCCTCCCCCTACCAACCCCACAGTAAACTCTTAAATTGCTCAATTTCTGTATGAGGTTTGTTAACTGCACCATCGCATAGCATATTGATTAGAGCACTCGCCTCGCAAACAAGGGGAACTGGGTTAGAATCCCAGGTGGGGCCAAACCTCAGGCAAGTTTCTTTACCCCCCCGCCCCCCAAGCCTCTGTTTACCTAGCAGTAAGCAAGAACCAAGTTGTTTTGGAGGAGGAGTTTTGGAGGAGTTGGAGGATCGCTTTCCGGGGGTAATCGATTTTAAAAAAAGAACTCGGTCACTCAATCCATGACTGGGACACTGCGGTGTGCAATTGGCTGCCGCATTTCGCCCACAAAATGTACAGTTCATTCGCTTTACGGTATATTCTGTGAAGTTCCTTGAGATGATGAGAAGCTATATCAAATGCAAGGATGATGATGATTATTATTCAGGTCCACAGTGAAGGAAACTCAAAAGGACAGCGAGTAGGAGGATCGCAGTGTTATGTGGAGGACCCAGCGTGACGAGACATCTACGGTAGCCGTTGCTCAAGTGAGCAGCTGCCTTCAGGGTATGTTCTCTTATTCAATGGCAGCTAAATCTTAACACTTGACAATCAGGGTGGAGAGGGGCCAAGTGACTGCTCCTGTGTACGCCTTGACCATAAGTGTTCAAAAAACATTTGGCAACGGGAAGGGGGATATGGTGGTGTTGGCCAGGGTCGGGGGGCGATGTAGGTACTGCCTAATCCTGTCCTCCCTGGGACATCCTCCCGACGTGATAGGCGCTATACAAATGTAATGTTGTTGTTGTCCTTGCCTGATACCATGCACCTCCCATCATTTGACGTCTCAGCTGAAGGAAGAGGTTTTTGATTGTTGTTAACATGAACGACTTTGCTCACGGCATTTCTGATGTAACTGTCCGTGATGGACCTTGCACGGCTATTGAGCGCCCTGCCTGCTGATCGGGCTGTTCCAACAACAGCTTGCACTTATATAGCGCCCTCCTTGCAGGGTAGCGTCTCAGAACGCCTAACATTGGTGGAGCCTGACTCTGAGACGGTGGAGGGGTGAGGGGTGATGACCGTAAGTACGATTGAAAAGGAAGATTTTCAGGTGGGACTTCAGAAAGGGGAGAGGGGGATTAGGTGGAGGGATTGAGGGAGAGTGTCCCAGGGGTGGGGCATAGTAGCTGAATGCGCAACCTCCAGTGGTGGGCGGAGGATGCGAGGAACGAGCAGGAGGCCGGTGCCAGTCGAGCAGAGGCCCCGGGTGGTGGATTGGGGAATGAGGAGGTTGGAGAGGTAGGGAGGTCCCAGAGAGTGAAGGGATTTGAACACAAGTGTGAGGATCATGAAGATGTTCTGTTCGGTGATGGGGAGCCAGTGGAGCCTGGGCCAGAACTGGTGAGTTGGGGGTACGGAGTTTGGTCCGGGTAAGTATGCGGGCAGCAGAGGTCTGAATGAGCTGGATCTTTTGAACAGTGGAGCTGGGGAGACTGATGAGGCGTGTGTTTTGAGTAATCCAGTTGGGAGGTGACAAACCCATACTCTCCTCACCTCTCCCCTGAACCCCACCATTACCTCCCTCTGCTCCAGCCTGGGCATCCTCCACCAGGGCAGGCCCATCATGGCTTCCAGCATTGGTTGTCTCCCATCGCTCGTTCACTCCGCACCAACCACTTCTGAAAGGCAAAACCCTCTCGACTCTTCCCCCCTCTCCTCAAACTCCACGGTCATCTCATCCCCCACAACCCCAAATCATCCCTGTACTACTCTCTCCATCTCCCCCCACGCCACTCCACCACCCCCTCCCCCCCTCCCCCACACCAGCAAACCTTTCCACATTTCCTTCCAAAGTGTCCGCTTACTCTAATAAAGCCCTTACTATCCACGACCTCTTCCTGGATGAGCACATTGTGGAATCCAGTGGTTAGAGCACTCATCCCGCAAGCGAGAAGACCTGGTTTCAATTCCCAGCAAGGCGAAATGTTGGACAAGTTTCCTCACTCCACACACGCATGTCTCTGTTTACCTAGCAGTAAGTAGCAACCCGGTTGTTAGTCGATTGGCAGATTGTTTTTCCAGGGATGGCAATTCCTTCAAAAAATAAATAAATTGATCACTTCAAACCACGACTTTGTGGGACACTGCTGTGCGCAATTGGCTGCCACCTTTTGCAAAATATAGTCAATTCATTTTACTGTGTATTCTGTGAAGTGCTTTGAGACATCTCGAAGACGTGATGAGGCGCGATATCAAATGCAAGGATTATTATTACCAACATCATGGTTATTGTTAGGTTGGTAACTCACTGAAACATAACAGCTTTCACTAACCTTGAATAATACGTCAATAAAACACTCATCGTTTTCGCGAACAAATTAAAACATTCTTTTTTAAAAAAGCTTGTTTTAGTATGGAATGAGGTTGACAAGAATCCAATCCATTTGTAACAAAGATTTGTTCCCGACACGTATTAAGTTATCAAAATAACATTTTTCCAACCCAATTCTTCAGGTATATATTTCGTGTCATCAATTGCTGAAAATTAACTCACGTTTAAGATGTCTTGAACATAGGAACAGGAGAAGGCCATTCAATCCCTCGTGCCTTTTCTACCGAATGAGTTCCGAGTCCCTGATGTGTGCGTGTGCTTTGCTTTACTCAAACATTTCAAAAATGTCCCCCTTCCGATACAATGAAATATTACAGAATATTTTCACTGACATAACAATTAAACAACGCGTGTAGGACTTTTTTTTGCTTATACAAGCTTGATAATATTGTCACAATTGTTTCGCCATCAAATTGTTGTGAATTTTAACCACTAATAACAATAATCCTGCAGCTCAGTGGTTAGAGCCCTTGACTCGCAAGCGAGAGGACGTGGGTTTGATTCCCGGGCCGGTCACACACACACATACGTCAGGAACTCTGAACTCGTATAGTCTAAACTAAACCACTGGGGGGGGGAGAGAGGGAAAGCGCGCCGCTCCCTGTCCAAGACGCCAACCTACGGATAAACCTCCCTCCCTCCTTCCCTCCCTCCCTGTTGTGCCCTGTTCAGGGCGGACGTTAAAAGATCTCCCGCAGCTCTGTCGGGGAAAAAAGAAGGGAGTTTGTCTCTCTCCCATTGTCCTGGCTGACCAATCACCCAGATAAAATCGTTCGCTCGTTTCACGGCCATTTTGAAACACGCAGTCACTACACTTCACGGTAGCTCAGGGGTTAGAGCACTCACCTCGCAAGCGAGAGGACCTGGATTCGATTCCCGGCCAGGGCGAAACATCGGGCAAGTTTTCTTAGTCCACATATTGACACGCCTCTGTTTATCAAGCAGTAAGTAGGAACCCGGTTGTTAGTCGATTGTTTTGAGTTTACTTTCTCAATCCCATTTAAAATCTTAAACATAATCTTAAATCTTAAAATCTTAATAAGGAGTCCTGTACAACAACAAGATTACATTTGCATAGCGCCTTTCACATCGGGAGGACGTCCCAAGGCGCTGGACAGAGTACAGCATTTCAGCATTGTAGCTCAGTGGTTAGAGCACTCACCTTGCAAGCGAGAGATCTGGGTTCGATTCCCGGCAGGGTGAAATCCTGGGCAAGTTTCCTTACTCCACACCCCTGATAATAATCCCTTATGAAAAAAACAATAATAATTGGTCACTTCAATCCACGACTGTTTGTGGGACGCCACTGTGCGCAATTGGCTGCCGCGTTTCACCAACAAGACAAACGGTCACTACATTTTACAGTATATGCTATGAAGAGCTTTGAGACGTCTCAAAGACGTGATAAGGCGCTGTATCAAATGCAAGGATTATTATTATAGGATAAAAATAAACAGGACTTGCCCCATTGTGTTTGAAGGCGGGCAGGGAGATCAAAAGTGTTTTGTGGGTGGGCGGGCGGACAAGGGGAATATTTATATAGAGAGAATTGGTCATTGATAACCTTCCACTCAAACGGTATTTCATTGTGTCTGTGTGTGTGTGCGCGTGGGAGGTGTGTGTGCAAGGAAAGTCACAGGAAAACAGCTTACAGGGGCGGGGAACAGAGTGTTGACAGGGTAAATCACGTCACTTTTTTTCCTAGTATAAATAATTACTGTCGCTCGCAGAAACCTTCACTCGGTCGCTGCCTGGCGTTTGTCGCAGGAAACCTCGCAGTTTCTGAAATAAACGTGGTGAGTAACATCTGCCTCACACACCTGACTCTGTGGTGTAGTCCTGTAGCTCAGTGGTTAGAGCTCTCGCTTCGCAAGAGAGAGGACCTGGGTTCGATTCCCAGGCGGGTCAGGTCAGGACGAAACGTTGGGAGGGTTTCCTTACTCCACACACACACACACGTCTCTGTTTACCCAGCAATAAGTTGGAACCTGCGTGTTAGTTCGATTGGTGCATCGCTTTTCCGGTGGTAATAATCATTTGAAAAAAACAAATCAAAAAACAATAATTTGGTCACTCGGTCTACGATTGTTTGTGGGACGTTGCTGTGCGCATTTGGCTGCCGCTTTTCGCCAATACACAGTCACTAGGCTTTACAATGCATCCTGTGAAGCGCTTTGAGATGTCTGGAAGACATGATAAGGCACCATATCAAATGCAAGGATTATTATTATTGTGTTATTTACATAGTTGCGCACACTCACCCATGCACAAGCTTGGAGCCTTTCACGGTGGGAAGGAGAGAGAGGGAGGGAGAAAGAGAGAGAGAGAAAGAAAGAAAGATGGAAGGAGGGAGCATTTTACGGCATATGCTGTGAAGCACTTTGAGGCGTCTCGAAGACGCGATGAGGCAGTATATCGAATGCAAGGATTATTATTAATATTGTTGTCAGAGACGCTGTCCTTCGGATGAGACTTTAAACTTCGCTCACTCCCTCCCCGCATACCCGAAACTGAGAGAGAGAGAGGAATGCGCAATAGATACACAATCCTCACAGAAAAACTGATGGATGAGGCATTTTTTGAGGGTGACGTGAGGATATGTATCAACATAGTTGTGAATAATTTGCTTAATATGTGAATGATTGTCTCATTCGCTTCCTCCCTTCCTCTCTCTCTCCCTCCCCCTCTCCCTCTCTCTTGCTCCCTCTATCTCTAATGACCTTGGCTGCTGTTATTACAATATCTAGCGGAAAATAAAACAGTACAATGTAGTGTCAAAGCGACCTTGAATCTTTTGTCAATTTACAATCTCGATCTTGTACCCTGAGAGAAAACTCTCGCTCACACCCCCACACTCCCCCACCTCCCCACCCCCCCAAGCTGATTCAGCAAAAATATCAGTGATAACAATAATAATAATCCTTGCATTTGACAGAGCACTTTATCACATCTTTGAGACGTCTCAAAGCACCTCACAGGACACACTGTAAAGTGAATTGACTGTATATTTGTGGGTGAAATGCGACAGCCAAATTGCACGCAGCAGTGTCCCACAAACAGTCATGGATTAAGTGACCAAATTATTATTATTTTCGAGGCATTATTATTCCCGAAACAGTGATTTGCCGAACAACTAACAGCCGTTTGTGTTTGTGCGTGAAAACACATTCAAAGAGGAAGGTCTTGAGAAGGATCTTGAACAAGTTGAGGGAGAGAGCGAGGAAGAGTGGAAGGAACAGAGAGAGGGGGGAGAGAGAGAAATGGAAGGGAGAGGAGGAGGGAGAGAATGGGGTTGGGGGGTGGAGGACGGGTGGGGTGGAGAAAGAACTAGAGATGGAGGGAGAGAGAAAGATAGAGAAGGATGGAGGGAGGGAGCATGATAGAGAGAGAGCGGAAGAGAGAGAAAGAGCAACTGAGCGAATGTGAGACAGAGCGAGGCGGAGGGAGGAATTCCCAGAAAGGCGGAAAGTGGCAGATGGGGGAGAGCGAGAGAGAGAGAATTAACATTGGAAAAAAAATATATATTTCTGTGCGCAATTGGCTGCCCCGTTTCACCCACAAAACAAACAGTCACTATACTTTGCAGTGTATCCTGTGAAGCGCTTCGAGTCGTCTCGAAAACATGATGAGGTGCTGTATCAAATGCAAGGATTATTATTATATACTCAGAAGAAATCTAACCATTTTTCCTGTTGTGATTTTTTTTGATTGACTACCTCCCCCCCAGATCACACATGGACTGGGTTTTAATCATCTTGGCTTCAGTGACTGCTGTCCTGAACCTCAGAGCCAAGCGGAGGAAGAAACAAGGTTAGTCATTCCTGTTGCTTAGTGGGTTAGTACGCTCGCCTTGCAAGCGAGAGGACCTGGGTTCAATTCCTAGGCGGGTCAAGGCGAAACCTTGGGCAAGTTTCCTTACTCCATACACACACACATACACACACACACACACACTCCTCTGTTTACCTACCAGTAAGTAGGAATCCGCTTGTTAGTCGATTAGCGGATCCCTTTTCTGCGGGTAATAATTCCTTCAAAATAAATAATACTATTAATAATTTGATCACTTCAATCCACTGTTTGTGGAACCTTGTGCTGTATTGGCTGCTGCGTTTCACCCACAAAACACACAGTCGATTCGCTTTACAGTGTATTCTGTGAAGCGCTTTGAGACGTTTTGAAGATGTGATAAGGCGCTGTATCAAATGCAAGGATTATCATTATCTCCCGCGGTGCTGTTGGGAAAAGAGAAAGGAGTTTCTCTCTCTCTCCCTTCCGGTGTCCTGGCTGACAAACCCCCAGATAAAATCGCTCGCTTGCTTCACGGCTGTTTGCAAAACGCACAGTCACTACACTTCACGGTGAAAAATCCCGCGAAGCGGTTCGAGACGGTTGCTCAGTAATAAGCAGGACACAAAGATAACCTCTCTCTCGTCTTTGCTTGTCTCCAGACACCCTCGGTTCCTGGACACTTTGCGAAACATTCATCCCGTCAAACTGTAAGGGCACAAACACAGAGCCCCAACAGGACAATAAAGTAGGAGAAATCCGCAGAAAGAAAAGGGATCTGGAAGGTAAACAACAACAACAACAATAACTTACATTCACACAGCGCTCTTCACGTGGGATAGAGTCCCGGAGTGCTTGACAGTGGTGGAGTCTGACCCCAAGCCAGGGAGAGAGGGAGGGGTGGGGGAGGTGACCGTAAGCATGATCAAAAAAGTAAGGTCTTTAGGCAGGATTTGAAAGTGAGGAGGGAGGGGGCAAAGGCCGAGAGATTGAGGGAGGGAGTGACCAAGTTGTGGCATGTAGTGGCTGAAGGCACGGCCATCGATGGTGGAGGGGAGGGCATGAGGGACAATAATAATAATCCTTGCATTTGATATAGCGCTTTTCACGTCGGGAGGACGTCCCAAAGCGCTTCACAGAACACACTGTAAAGTGTATTGACTGTATATATTTGTGGGCGAATGCGGCAGCCAATTGCGCACAGCAATGTCCCACAAACAGTCGTAGATTGAAAATGACCAATTTATTATTGTTTTTGGTTTTGGAGGGATTATTATTAGGCGTGTGGAGTAAGGAAACTTGCCCAAGGTTTCGCCCTCTGCCTGGAATTGAACTCAGGTCTCTCACTTGCAAAGCGAGTGCTCTAACCACTGAGCTACAGGACTCCACAAACAGGAGACCGGAGCCAGCTGAGCGGAGGCAGCGGTTGGTGGAGTGGGGAGTAAGCAGGTCGAAGAGATAGGGAGGTGAAATTGATCTGATCGGGAGCCAGTGGAGCCTGGCGAGGACTGGTGCGATGGGTTGTGGAGTTTATGACAGGAATAGCATCATCAAAATCAGCATCATCAGCATTATATAATAACATAATCCTTTCATTTGATATAGCGCCTTATCACGTCTTCGGGACATCCCAAAACGCTTCACGGAATACACTGTAATGTGTAATGACTGTATATTTTGTGGGCGAAACACAGTAGCCAATTGCGCACAGCAGTGTCCCACAAACATTCATGGATTGAGTGACAAAATTATTTTTATTATTTTTTTTAAAAGGGATTTTTAACCCCCGGAAAAGTGATCCGCTAATCGACTAACAAGCGGGTTCCTACTTACTGCTAGGCAAACTGAGGCGTACATGTGTGTGTGTGTGTGTGTGTCGAGTAAGGAAACTTGGCCAACGTTTCGCCCTGTCAAATGTCAGGATTACAATTCATTTTGTTTTTCTCTGCTTTGCAGGAGTGCAAATGGTGAATAGAGGTAATCGTTTCAAAGCAATATATATATCGTTTTCCACGTTTAGTTTCTTCTAAACCTAATGGAGCACAAATAGAATTTGTGTTTGACACACACGCATGGCATTTCATGTTGGGAGGATGTCCCAAAGCATTTAATTATCCTAGTTCGGGTCAAGAGTGTTGGGGGTATGAGGTTGGAAGACAAAGTATGTGTGTGTGTATGTGTGCACAATAGAAACATAGGGACAGAAGGAGGCCATTAAGACCCTTGAGCCTGTTCCACAATTGTATAAGATCACAGTTGCTCTGTACCTCAATAATAAAAACAATAATAATCCTTACATTTGAAATAGCTCCTTATCAAATTTTTGAGATGTCTCAAAGCGCTTCACAGGATGTACTGTAGAGTGGAGTGACTATATATTTTGTGGGCGAAACGCGCAACCAATTGCGCACAGCAACGTCCCACAAACAGTCGTGGATTGAAATGACCAATTTATTATTGATTTTTTGAAGCGATTATTATCCCTGGAAAAGCGATCCGCCAATCGACGTAGCAAGTGGATTCCTACTTACTACTGGGCAAACAGTGTGTGGAGTAAGGAAACTTGCCCATCACGTCTCCCTGCCCGGAAATCAAACCCAGGTCTCTCACTTGCGAGGTGAGTGCTCTAACCACTGAGCTATAGGACTTCACAAATCCCTTTGCCTCGTATCCCTTGATATCCTGACCTAATAAACATCTATCGACCTCATTCTTGAAGACGTGAATGGATCCAGTCATAATCCACAGCCTTTTGCGGGAGGGAAAGAGTTCCAGATTCCCATTAGCCTTTGGGTGAAAAAGTGCCTCCTGATTTCACTCCTAAATGGCCTAGCTCTAATTTTAAGATGATGATTGATTTTATTTTCATTTTAAGATTATTAAGGTAATAAAATATTATTTTATATATTTTTTTCAGCTGTAGCAGCTGTCGTGACGATAGGTATTTATTTATTTATTTATTTATTTATTCCTTGTATGTATATATTTTTTGGTTTGCGTTAAGCTTTTAAGGGCGTGTGTGTGTTCACCCGTGTGTGAATGCATGTGTGTGTGTGTGTGTGTGTGTGCTTGTGAGTGTGCGTTTAAGTGTGTGCATGTATGAGTGTGTGCATGTGTGAGTGAGTGCTTGTGCAGGTGTGTGTGTGTGTGTGTGTCCTCCTGATGTGATAACGGACGGTTTTGAATGAGAGGATTATTATTATTGTTATTATTACAATAAAAAGTTATTGTAAAAGAATATTTTGTTGTCCAAATATCACTGCGCGTTTTAACTCTCATTTTTATTATTAAGTTTACCGCTCGCCCAGAAAATATACAGTCAATTCACTTTACAGTATATCCTATGAATCGCTTTGAGACGTCTCCAAAACTTGATAAGGTGCGATATCAAATGCAAGGATTATTATTATTTGTTTGCAGAAGACGCCTCCACTCTGACCCATGGTTTGTTTTCAACAACCTCGCTCTCGCCTTCAAATTCTTCCGCACGTCCTCTCTCCCTCTCCTCTCCCTCTCTCTCCTTCCTTCTATCCCTCCCTCGCTCGCTCACTCCCTCCTCTCTTGTTTCGTGAATCGCTCTCTGTTTCTCTCCCTTCCATTTGTTTCTCTCTTTCTCTCCTTCCCTCTCTCTCCCTCCCTTCTCTCTCTCTCTCTCTCTCTCTCTCTATCTTGCTCCCTCCCTCCATCTCTCTCCCTCTCTTTTTCTCCATTCCCTTTCTCTCCTTCCTCCCTCTGTTCCTTCCTCTCTCTTTTTCCCCTTTCTTTCCCTCTCCCTCCTCTTTCTCCCTCTCTTTCTCGCTCCCTCCCTCCATCTCTCTCTCTTTCTCTCCCACTCTCCTCCTTCCTACCGTGAAAGGCTCTAAGCTTGTGTGTGTGTTTGTCAGTGAGTGTGTGTGTGCGTATAAAAAAATTTGTATTCCATCTAGCTGTAACATTTAATGTTTGTTTCTACTTATATATAATTAACCGGTTGTTTTATAATCTTTTTTTCTCTCTCTCTCTGAAGATGAGATTCCCCTGATCAATCCAGGTAAAATGTCACCCACTTTTCAATCAAACTCATATAGTCTAAACTGATTCTCCAGCGTAGCGCGGGGGGGAGAGATAGAAAGAGAAAGGAGACGCCATCCTTCAGATGAGACGTTAAACCTCACTCCTTCCTCCAGTCTGTGCCCCGTTCAGGGTGGACGTCAAAGATTCTCAGCACCTTGGACATCGTCCCGATGTAAAAGGCGCTTTACAAATGTAATTTTGTTGTCTCTCTCTCTCTCTCCTGGTACCCCGGCCAACAATCCCCCAGATAAAATCGCTAGCTCGCTTCACGGCTGTTTGAAACGCACAGTCACTACACTTCACGGTGAAAAATCCCACAAAGCGCTTTGAGACATGCTCCCTCCCTCCTGACTTGATAGGGTGCCGTGTCAAACACGAGGATTATTATTGTTGTTGTTATTATTATTGTTGTTGTTATTTTTGTTATTATTGCTGTTTTTATATATTGACATGTGGGTGATCTTTAATTTCATTTAATCTATCGCAGATGAATATTTAGCAACCCTAGGTAATTGTTGATGTTTATTTTGTTGATATTGATGCTAATAATTATAATAATAATGATCCTTGCATTTCGTATAGCCCCAAATGCAAGGATTATTATTATAATTAATAATTATTGATAATAATAATTATTAATCGCAGTATATACTATAAAGTGAATGAACTGTATATTTTGTGGGCGAAACGCAGCAGCCAATTGCACACAGGTATTGATGATGATACACAAAACAACAAAAAAATGACACTTACACAGAGTCTTTCACGTCGAGAGGACATTCCAAGGCACTGGACAGTCAGGGATTTGGACCCGAGGTGGGGGTTCGGATCTGGAGAGGTGGAGGGCAGGGAGTGTAGGGTGTAGGAGGGTGACCGAATATGTTATTGATCAAAGAGGAAGGGCTGGAGATGTGTCTTGACGGAGGGAAGGGGTGAGGCGGAGGGACTGTTGGATGGAGTTCCAGATGGTGGGGGGAAGAGAGGCTGGTGGCCCGCCTGCCAATGGAGGGTGGACAGGTTGGTAGGGGGTTAGCCGGTCACAGAGGTACAAAGTTGATGATGTTGATGATGAAGATAACCTTTCCTTTCAATTGCAGAAAGGCTGAAACAAAAGGAAACGGGTGAGAAAAAAGAGGTCACAGTTTGTTTTTTACACCAATAATAATAATAATTCACTTTACAGTATATTCTGTGAAGCACTTGAGAAGTCTCGAACACATGATAAGGCGCTATATCAAATGCAAGGATTAGAATTATTATTTTCCAGACAGTCTTTCCCTTTTAATATATATATACACGTAAGTCAAGTCACCTGTGAAAAAATATTAATAATAATAATTATTTGGTCACTCAATCCACGACTGTTTGTGGGACACTGCTGTGCAAAATTGGCTACTGCGTTTTGCCCACAAAATATACAGTCACTACACTTTACCGTATATCCTGTGAAGTGTTTTGAGGCATCTTGAAGACGTGATAAGGCGCTATATCAAATGCAAGGATTATTATTGTCATTATTAATTATTGTGTTGAACTTTTGTTTTATCGTTTGAACGGGAATCAATATTGAACTGAAAATTATAATGATTTTGCAGAATTCCAGGAATATCGTGAAAATGCGGGTGAGAGAGTGTGATTGTGTGTCTCTTTCCTTTATATAAAAAAAAGCTACCAATTATCTCCATTATCCCCCCCCCCACGCGCCCCCACCACACACACACACAGACTGTAAAACGATTTGAGAAGTGAAAGATATTGTGCGTCAATCTGTGTTGCAATGCAATTTACATTTGTGATAAGATTAATTGCATTCGATATAGCGCCTTATCGCGTTGTTGAGACATCTCAAAGCGCTTCACGGAATATACTGCAACGTGCAGTGACTGTGTGTTTTGTGGACGAACCGAGGCAGTCAATTTGTGCACAGCAGCGTCCCACAAACATTCATCAAGTGAGGGAGTGAGTGAAAGAGAGAAATTCCCTTCTCTTTTCCCGACATTCGCCCTGAACAGGGCACAGACAGAGAGGGAGGAAGTGAGTGAGGTTTAACGTCTCATGTGAAGGAAGGCGTCTCCGATAATGGGGTTCTCTCTCTCTCTCCCCTTCCCCCCCACCCCAGCTCTGCGATGTAGCGTCACCTTAGACTAATATGAGTTTGATTGAAACGTTGAATTATTTTACAGAGAGAGAATTGCTTAACAAAGATAGAGGTAAAGTGATTTCCTGTAGTTTATTTTAAATAAAATACACATACGTACGTACATACATACATACATACATACCTACCTACGTACCTACATACATACATACATACAGTAATAAAAAATAATGCTGATAATAATGTGGTCAATTAAATCGACGACTGTTTGTGGGACGTTGCTGTGCGCAATTGGCTGCCGCGTTTTGCCCATAAAATATACAGTCACTTCCCTTTACAGTATGTTCTGTGAATCACTTTGAGACGTCTCAAAGACGTGATAAGGCGCTATATCAAATGCAAGGATTCCAGAGAGCGAGGGAGAGAAAATCCCTTCTCTGTTCCCAACAATGATGCAGGAGATCTTTAACATCCACCCTGAACAGGGCACAAACGGGGAGGGAGTGAGTGAGGTTTTAACGTCTCATCTGAAGGACCTAATTTTTATTGCCTTTATAATAATTATTATTACGTTTGATTTCTTTCTGTTCAGAGATCCTCTCACTCATTAAAAAACACGAGGAAACAGGTCAGAGCAATTAAGGGGACAAATGAGCATCTTAATGATTCATTCATTTGGGAAAAAAACAATCCTCAATAAATTTATTTAATTGTGGTTCGAATCAGAATTGTTTACAATCGATTTCATTTTCAATTTTATTTTACAGAATATTGGAGAAAAAGTGCAGGTAAATAATTCTTTGAAAGTGTTGATATAGTTTGTTGATGATATTAATAATCCTTGCATTTGATGCAGTGCCTTATAATAATAATAATAATTCTTGCATTTGATATAGCGCTTCACAGAATATACTGCAAAGTGAATTGACTGTATATTTGTGGGCGAAATGCGGCAGCATTTGCACTCAGCAGTGTCCCACAAACAGTCGTCGATTGAAGTGACCAATTTATTATTGTTTTTTTTCTTGAGGGATTATTATTAGGTGTGTGGAGTAAGGAAACTTACCCAAGGTTTTGCCTGCCGGGAATCAAACCCAGGTCTCTCGCTTGCAATTCGAGTGCTCTAACCACTGAGCTACAGGACTCTACGATGATGTTTTTGTTAATTGTAAGCGTGTATATCCCAATTAACTAATTTCAGAATACCTGTAATGTGGTTTATTTTTTGTTTTAGAAAGCGATTCAACAATAGAAAGTTTGGGTGAGAGTATAACTGTTCATTGACAAAACACACAGTCACTACACTTCATGGTGAAAATCCCGCAAAGCGCTTTGAGATGTCCTCCCTCCCTCCTGACGTGATAAGGTGCCGTGACGAACGCATGTGTTATTGTTGTTTTAGTTATAATAAATGTCATTATGATTATAATATTTATTATGTGGAGTCCTGTAGCTCAGTGGTTAGAGCACTCGCTTTGCAAGTGAGAGACCTGAGTTCAATTCCAGGCGAAACCTTGGGCAAGTTTCCTTACTCCACACAGAGCCTAATAATAATCCCTCCAAAACCAAAAACAATAATAAATTGGTCATTTTCAATCCATGACTGTTTGTGGGACATTGCTGTGCGCAATTGGCTGCCGCGTTCGCCCACAAATATGCAGTCAATTCACTTTACAGTGTGTTCTGTGAAGCACTTTGGGATGTCCTCCCGACGTGAAAAGTGCTATATCAAATGCAAGGATTATTATTATATATATTGGTTCAGCCCACAAAATATACAGTCAATTCACCTTATAGTATATACTGTGAAGTGCTTTGAGACATACCTCAAACATAGGTCGCTTTTCCGGGGGTAATCATCCCTTCAAAATAAATAAAAATAATAATAATAATTTGGTCACTCAATCCACGACATTGCTGTGCCCATTTGGCTGCTGCATTTCGCCCACAAAATATAAAGTCAATTCACTTTACAGTGTATCCTGTGAAGCGCTTTGAGATGTCTCGAAGCCATAAGGTGCTATATCACATGCAAGGATTATTATTATTATTTATTATATTATTATTTATTATTTCTCAGGTGATAGAATGAGTAAGAAATATCTGCAGGGAGATGGCTTGTATTCTCTCTGTGTTTAATTTTTTTCATTGTTTTACTCTTTGGCAAATCTGCCTATCTGCTTTTTCACTGCTCTCTGTATCTCCCTTCCTCCCTCGCCCGCCACTCACTCCTTCTCTTGCTCCCTCACCTTGTTGAAAGTCAATCTCCAGATCCATGGAGTCCTGCAGCTTCGCAAGCGAGAGGACTTGGGTTCGATTCCCAGGCGGATCAGGGCGAACCGTTGGGCAAGTTTCCTTACACCACACACACGCCTGTTTACCTAGCAGTAAGTAGGAATCCAGTTGTTAGTCGATTGGTGGGTCGCTTTTCTGGGGGTAATAATTCCTCCAAAAAAAAAGAATTTGGTCACTCAATCCAAGGCTGTTTGTGGGACACTGCTGTGTACAATTGGCAGCTGCATTTCACCCACAAAATATACTATCACTCCACTATGCAGTGTATCCTGTGAAGTGCTTTGAGATGTCTCGAAAACGTGATAAGATGCTATATCAAATGCAAGGATTATTATTATCATACTCCAATTTCCCTATTCTCTTCTATTCCCCGCTCCCGCTTGTGAATAGCTATCCTGCGTGAAGGGCGCTATTTAACTGCAAGTTGTTGTGGTTGTTGAAGGTCTCTCTGCCCACACCCTCTGGAACTCCAGCCCACGGTCCCTCCGCTTTTCTCCCTCCCTCCCTTGCCGCCTTCAAGACCATCCTCTTCGACTAACCGCACCTTTTATTACCTTCCTACCCCCTACCCTCCCCAAACCCCCACCCCTCCTGATCCCAACCACCAGCTCGAATCCCTGACTGTCCAGCGCCATGAGACGTCCTCCTGATGTGAAAGATGCCGTGTAAATATTATTTGTTGTTGTGGTTGTTGTGTTCCCTATTGGAGTAATTAATTGATTCTCTGTGTAATTCCAGATTTATTTTCCTGTGATACAGTTTGGGTTGGTGAGTATTATATTATGACATAAATAATAATAGTATTATTATTGATAATAATAATACAGAATAAATAATAATGAGATCCATGTTTAGATATTTGACTTTTGTGCCTTTTTTGAGACGTGACTTGAAAAAGGGGAGGGAGAGATGATGATAATAATAATAATAATAATTGCATTTGATATACAAATCATGTCTTATCATGTCTTCGATACGTCTCAAAGAGCTTCACTATAAAGTGTAGTCACTGTATATCTTGTGGGCGAAACACTGAGGCCAATTGCTCACAGCAGTGTCCCACAGACAGTCGTGGATTGAGTGACCAAATTATTATTTTTCCGGTTTGTTCTTTCGAAGAAATTATTACCCTGGGAAACGTGATCTGCCAATCGACTAACAACCGGGTTCCTATTTACTGCTAGATAAGCAGAGGTGTGTGTGCGTGTGGAGTAAGGAAACCTGGCCAATGTTTTGCCCTGACCGGGAATCAAACCCATGTCCTGTGACTTGCGAGACAAGTGCACTAACCAGCTACAGGATTCCACAAGATGTAGGGAGGGACGGAGGGAGTGTGGGAGAAATAGATGGAGGGAGCGAGTGAGTAAATGAGTGAGGGAAGGAGGGAATGTGGGAGAAATATGGAGGGAGGGAGGGAGGGAGCAGAAACAAATTAAATGTTATTCCTAAATTTTTTTTTAATAAATGGAATAAATTATTTACCGTTATTGAATGATACCATTCTTTATAGAATATTAATCATTAAATAATTATCGTTGATAAATAATCAAAGAAACTATTTGACAATTCACGCAAAAAAAATCAAATGAATTATTTTATTTTTAATTGGGAATCTACTCTCTTTCTCTCATTCAATAGATCTGGAAAACGCGCGCCGAGATTATCACAAATTGGGTGAGGCAGATTTTTTGATATTGATGATGATGTTGATGATAATAATAATAATAATAATATTAATCCTTGCATTTGATACAGTGCCTTATCACGTCTTTGAGGCGTCTCAAAGAGCTTCACAGTAAAGTGTAGTGATTGTATATTTGTGGGTGAAATGCGCACAGCAGTGTCCCACAAACATGCTACTGAAATCCCATTACTCGTGGAGTACTGTAGCTCAGTGGATAGAGCACTCGCCTTGAAAGCGAGAGGACCTGGGTTTGATTCCTGAGCCCACAAAACATGCAGGCAGTTCACTTTACAGTATATTCTGTGAAATGCTTTGAGACGTCTCGAAGACGAGATAAGGCGCTGTATCAAATGCAAGGATTATTATAATTGATGTTGATGATGATGTATTTCTAAAAACAATTCAAAATTTTGACGGTTTCTCTTCTGATGGCTGATAGAGATGTGTGTTTGATTTAATTAGGAATCAATTCATTATTGTTGCAATGGAATTAATACATGACCTTAACACTTTAGAAAAACTCTTTGCTAAGAAGAACAAAGGTAAAATCTTCTCAATTTCGTTTTTTGGGGGGTTTCTCAAACCCAATTAATGTTTTCTTTGTGGATTTATTATAATAATAAATAATAATAATAATCCTTGCATTTGATATAGGGCCTTATCATGTCTTCTATACATCTCAAAGCGCTTCACGGAATATATTGTAAAGTGAATTGACTGTATATTTTGTGGGTGAAACGCGGCAGCCAATTGCGCACAGCAGTGTCCCACAAACAGTCTTGGATTGAGTGACCAAATTATTATTAATTAATTTTTTTGAAGGCTTATTGTCCCCAGTAAATTGATCCGCCAATTGACTAACAACCAAGTTCCTACTTACTGCTAGGTAAACAGAGGGATGTGTGCGTGTGGAGTAAGGAAACTTGCCCACTGTTTTACCCTGACCCGCCCGGGAATCAAACCCAGGTCCTCTCGCTTGCGAGGCGAGGTTCTCACCACTGAGCTACAGGACTTCTCTTCCTTAATGAGTAAATAAGAGAGTAATATCTTGTTCAAATTTGAACTTAACCACACAGAATTCCAAGAAATTGAGGCTGATGTTGGTGAGTTTTTTTCTTGTTTCTGATCAATATCGGGCAATCCTCCAGATAAAATCGCTCGCTCTCGAAACACTAGTCACTACGCTTCACGGTGAAAAATTCTGCGAAGTGCTTTGAGACGTCACCGCTCCCTCCCGACGTCATAAGGTGCAGTGTTGAATATTATTATTATTAAATATCTCCTAAAAATAACCTTTTATGTGATACTAAACGCACTTTCTGTCTCTCTGTGTGTCTCCCTCTCTTTTTCTCTCTCTCACTCTCTCTCTTTCTGTCTTTTTCCTTCTTTCTTTCTCTTTGTCTCTGTTTTTCTTTCCATCTCTCTCTCTATCTTTCTTTCTCTCTATTTCTTAACCTCCTCACAGCTGCAGAACGGAGAAAACTAATTCAAGGTGACATATATTCTATTCTCGCAAACTATTCAGAAATTAACGGGATAATTAATTCTTTTGACAATAGTCTAAACTGATGCTACAGCGTAGTGCTGTGGAGGGAGAGAGAGCCCCACGTTGTCGGAGATGCCTTCCTTCGGATGAGACATTAAACCTGATGAGTTGAGAAGTCCTGCAGCTCAGTGTTTAGAGCACTCGCCTCACACTCGAGAGGACCTGTGTTCGATTTCCGGGCGGGTCATGGCAAAATGTTGGACAAGTTTCCTTACTTGACACACGCACGCACACCTCTGTTTACCCAGCGGTAAGTAGGAACCTGGTTGTTAGTCGATTGCTGCGTTTCGCCCACAAAATATACAATATACAATAAAATATACACTTTACAGTGTATCCTATGAAGCGCTTTGAGACGTCTACAAGACGTGATAAGGCGCTATATCAAATGCAAGGATCATTATATGTTATATATGTTATATATAAGCTTCAATTCCTTTCCTTCTCATTGGAGAAGGTGAAAGTAATTTTTTTTTAATGTATTTTATTTTTCATTTCCCTTTCGCAGCTTTTGAAACCATTTTGACTATCCCAAAAGATACCGGTGAGAGAGAAAGGCGTTCATCTCTCACTTGCGACTTCTGTGTGAGCGTGTGTCTGCGTCTGTGTGTATGTGTGTATGACTGTGCGGCTAATGTGTGCGTGTATGTCAGTGTGTGTGTGTATGTGTATACGCCAAATACAAAGAGGTCCTAGACTTCTTTGCCTCAAAGATTGAAAACATCCGCTTGGCTGAATCGTCCACCCACCCCACGTCACCTTCCACCCCACCCAGCCCATCCATACCACCTTCTCCCTCTGCCACAGCTCCTGCCACTCTCCCCTCCTCAAAATCCTTTGCCCCCATTTCTCCCTCCTCTCTCTCAACCACAATCACCTGGATGAAATTCACTACCTGCTGCCTCGAACCCCCTCCCCACCCAGCTGCTGGTCACTCAACTCCTCTTTCTCTCCCCCCTACTGGCCGATACGGTCAACCAGTCTCTCTCCTCAGGCTCTGTTCCACTCCCCCTGAAAACTGCTGTCATCACACCCTTCCTCAAAAAACCCACCCTCAATCCCTCTAATCTCTCACACTACTGTCCCATCTCCAACCTACCCTTCCTTGCCAAAGCCCTGGAACTTTGGTCGCACCTCTCCCTCTGCTCCCTCCTCGAGCCACTGCAGTCTGGTTTTCGCTCTGACTGCCCACAGCACAGAGACAGCGCTTGTCAAAGTCACAAATGACATTCTCTCAATCTGTGACCAGGGCTCCCTTTGCCTCCTCGTCCTCCTGGATCTCTCTGCCGGGTTTGACACAGTCGACCACGCCATCCTCCTCCGTCGGTTCTCCTCCCTCAAGCCACCTTGGTAGGACTGCACTCGCGTGGTTCTAGTCCTACTTAACCAACCGCCTCCATTTCATCTCAGCAAATGGTTTCTCCTCCTGCCCCCATCCGGTCACCTGCAGGGTACCTCAGTGCTCCATCCTTGGTCCTCTTCTTTTCCTTAGCTATATGCTCCCTCTGGGCGATGTAATCCGTGACTCACATGTGTGGATGACGCACAAATTTACAGCAATCTAGGCATCTGGTTTGACCCCCAGTTGTCCTTGCTCCCCACATCCGGTCCCTGACCAGCACCGCCTTCTTCCACCTCCGCCGCGTTGTCCGACTCCGTCCGTACCTTACCCCAAATGCAGCTGAAACCCTCATGCGTCCTGCGTTTGTCACCTCCCGCCTGGATTACTCCAACGCACTCCTCGCCGGTCTCCCCAGCTCCACCATTCACAAGGTCCAGCTCATTCAAAACTCTGCCGCCCACGTACTGACCCGAACCAAACTCCGTACCCACATCTCACCAGTTCTGGCCCAAGCTCCACTGGCTCCCCATCACCGAACAAATCGACTTCAAGACCCTCATACTCGTGTTCAAATCCCTTCACTCTCTGGCACCTCCCTACCTCTCCGACCTCCACATTCCCCAATCCAACCCTAACCCTCCGCTTGACTGGCACCAGCCTCATTCTCGTCCCTCCCACCCTCCGCCCCACCATTGGAGGTGGCGCTTTCAGCTTCTACGCCCCTAAACACTCTCCCTCAATCCCTCTGCCTTGCCCCCTTTCCCCTTTTTTCAAGTCCAATCTGGAAACCTTCCTCTTCGACTGTGTTTATGGCCACCTCCCCCCCCACCCAACTCAGAGTCAGGCTCCTCCACTGTTAAGCGCTCTGAGACTCTACCCTCATGGAAGGCGATATGTGCCAGTTGTTGTTGTGTGTGTCTGTATGTGTGTGTGCGTCTGTGTGTGCATGTATGTCAGTGTGCGTATGTGTCTGTATACATGTGTATGTGTGTGTCAGACACTGGTCGACCAAATAAAACGAGAGATATTAATGAATACAATTTCCATTCCATTTTAACAGAGAGAAATTTCAAAAAAGTCAACAGTGGTAAATTAAGTTTCTAAATAATATGTTTTTTTCGTGGTTGGCTTGAATGCAGAGTCCCAATATTCAATAATAATAATAATAATCCTTGCATTTGATATAGTGCCTTATCACATTGTTGACATGTCTCAAAGCGCTTCACAGAATATACTGTAAAGTGTAGTGGCTGTATATTTTGTGCGTGAAACGGGGCAGCCAGTTGCTCACAGCAGCGTTCCACAAACAGTCGTGGATTGAGTGACCAATTTAATATTTTTTAAAAAAAACACGACTTTGTTTTCAGATATGCAAGCTGCCCGTTATAAAGCAGGTCAATATAATAATAATAATAATCCTTGCATTCGAAACGGCACCTTATCATGTCGGGAGGGAGAACATCTCAAAGCGCTACGCTAGATTTTCACCGTGAAGTGTAGTGACTGTACATTTTGCGCATAGCGATGTCCCCGCAAAGAGCCGTGAAGCGAGCGAGCGATTTTATCTGGGGCTTTGTCGGCCAGGACACTGGGAAGAGAGAGAAAGAGAGAGTGTGAGAGAGAAAAAGAAACTCCCTTCTCTTTTCTGAATGTGAGTGGAATTAAAATGTACAATTGATTTGAAATGTGTGCTATTTTTCCAGGAATAACTCAACTTGAACAAAAAATTGAAAAAGCGGGTAGGAAAATATGAGCATTAACATCAACATCATCAATTTTGTGATCATCTACATCAACTTGTAGAATCTTGTAGCTCAGTGGTTAGAGTGCTCGCTTCGCAAGCGAAGGGACCTGGGTTCGATTCCTGGGGGGGGAGGGGATCAGGACGAAATGTTGGGTAAGTTTCCTTATTCCCCACATACACGCACCTGTGTACCTAGCAGTACGTAGGAACCCGGTTGTTGGTCGATCAGCGGTTCACTGTTATGGGAGTAATAATCCCTTAAAAATTGGTCACTCAATCCAATCTACGACTGTTTGTGGGACACGGCTGTGCACAATTGGCTGCCACGTTTTCACCCGCAAGATATACAGTCAATTCACTTTACAGTGTATTCCATGAAGCGCTTTGACAAGTCTCGAAGATGTGATAAGGCGCTATATCAAAAGCAAGGATCATTATTATTATTATTGTTATCATCAACAACATCAACATAGAAAACAAATGACAAATGTGATATATTTTCCCATCCACCAGAGAGAACATTACCAGATGTTGTGAAACGTAAGGAGTTTTACTCTTGAACCAAACCTCCGATAACATCATTGATTCAATTGTTTTTTAACGCTGATTTTTTTTAACACTGGATCCTAAATCATATCTGGAGATTTTCTGTCCCGTCCCAGAAAGCGAAAATTCTCTCAACAGGATTAGTAAGTTTTATTTCTTCCTGCACAAAACTCCTTACCGCCATCACGCCAGTCCTTGCCAGGCTCCACTGGCTCCCTATCACATACACTAAACTCTGTATCCCCATCATCCCAGTCCTCGCTGGCTCCACTGGCTCCCAATCACTAAACAGATCGATTTCAAGATCCTCTCACTTGTTTTCAAATCCCTTCATGCCCTGGCACCTCCCTACCACCCCGATCTGCTTACCCCCTACTCCACCACCCGCTGGCTGTGCCCGGCTGGCACCGGCCTCCTGTTTGCCATTTCGCAAACACATATCGATCCTTGTTTTAACTCTGGCAGAGACTTTGGATGAACAGATCGACCCTTTACGTAAGAGAAACCGATTCAATTTTACGTTTTCTCAATATTTTCTCAGCAAAACTGATGTATGGGAATTTATTCTTAGTTTTTTTCCTTTAATCTTCGATCTTTTTTTGAATCTTTGATAAACAACTCACGTGTACAGAGTCCGTCTCGCTCCGAGCTGAAGAGAGAGATAGATAGAGAGAGAGAGAGAGATGTGGAGTCCTGTAGCTTAGTGATTAGAGCATTCATCTCGCAAGCAAGAGGACCCGGGTTTGATTCCCGGGCGGGTCAGGGCGAACATTGGGCAAGTTTCCTTACTCCAGACACACGCACGCCTCTATTTACCTAGCAGTAAGTAGGAACCTTCTTGTTGTCGGTTGGCGGATTGCTTTTCTTGGGGTAATAATTCCTTCAAAAAGAATAATAATATTGCAGTCACTCAATCCACGACTGTTTGTGGGACACTGCGGTGCGCAATTGGCTGCCATGTTTCGCCCACAAAATGTACAGTCAATTCATTTTACAGTATATCCTGTGAAGCGCTTTGAAACGTCTCGAAGACGTGCCAAATGCCAGGATTATAATTATTATATTATGCTTTTGAATCAGTCACACGGCAAATTTTTAATATTTTGTCAACGGGTTGTATTATCTTTCAAGATGAAAAATTGACTGATTTAAAGAAAGGTAAAATGTTTTTGCTTTTTACAATATAATACAATATTACATTTGTACAGTGCCTGTCAACTCGGGAGGACGTCCCAGGGTGCTTTTAATAATATCAACAGTTCAATTATAATCTTTGCATTATATTGTGTCAGGAAGGAAGGAGGGAGGGAGGATTTCTCGAAGAGCTTCGCTGGATTTACACAGTGAAGTGTAGTGACTGTGTGTTTTGCGCACAGCGACGTCCCCACAAACAGCTGTGAAGTGATCGAGCGATTTTATCTGTCGGCCAGGACACCAGGAGAGAGATCATGAGAGAGAGAAACACACTTCTCTTTCCCCGACAGAGCCACAGGAGATCTTTAACGCCGTTCCCTGAACATGGCACAGACAGGGAGTAAGTGAGTGAGACTCTGGGGGAAATTTAAACAGTTTTTTTGTTGTATTAGATTAGAAAAAAGTTATCTTATTTTGCCCACAAAATACACAGTCAATTCACTTTACAGTATATCCTGTGAAGTGCTGTGAGACATCTTGACGACATGATAAGGCGCTATATAAAATGCAAGGATTATTATTATTAGCATTATCTTTGCATGAGCTGTGTAATTTTGTGACGTTTTTCAGAGAGAGAAACTGCAGAAAATAAGTTGTGTAAGTCTAGCTCTCTCCCTCTCTCTCCCTCTCACCCTCTCCCTCCTTCTCTCCCTCTCACTTTCTCCCTCCTCTCTCCCTCTCACTCTCTCCCTCCTTCTCCCCCTCTCACTCTCTCCCTCCTTCTCTCCCCCCACATCTTTGCAGACGTTAAAGATCTCCTACGATGCAATTCGAAAAGAGAAGGGTGTATCTTTCACTCCCTTTCTCTCTCTCCCCCGGTGTCCTGGCCACAAATCGTTGAGAATGGAGTCAAGTAGATCAGTGGTTAGAGCACTCGCCTCACAAGTGAGAGGACCTGTGTTCGATTCCCGGGGTGGGTGGGGTGGTCAGGGTCAAACCTTAGGCAAGTTTCCTTACTCCACACACACGCCTCTGTTTACCTAGTAGTAAGTATGAACCCACTTGTTAGTCGATTGGTGGATCGCTTTTCTGGGTGTAATAATTCCTTCAAAATAAATAAATAAATAAAAATAATGTGATGACTTCAATCCACGACTGTTTGTGGAGTGTTGCTGTGCGGATTTGGCTGCGATTCGCCCACAAAACACACAGCCACTACACTTTACAGTGGACCCTGTGAAGCACTTTGAGACGTCTCGAAGATGTGATAAGACTCTGCATCAAATGCAAGGATTATTATTATCAGTGCCGTGCATTTACTCCCTTCAAAGAGCAGAAATAACAATTTACGCGGATGCAAATGTTTAATATTTTTCGACTGCCGAGCGTTTTTGTGGTTTAAATCTTGCAGGGAATAAAATTCAAGAGAAGGAGAATGGTGAACATGAGTTTTATAAAGTATCTGTCTGTCGCTTCCTACCTCTGCGAACTGCTAACCCCTTATCAACCAGTCCGCTCCCTCCGCTCACTGGGCTCTGGCCTGCTCCACGCCTCTCGTCCAACCCACCATCGGCGGACAGGCCATCAAGCCTCTCTGCCCTGACCCTCTGTAACTCCTTCCCACAGTCCCTCCGCCTCGCCCACTCCCCTGCCTCCTTCAAAGCCCATGTCAGACCCCGACTCTTCGACCAACTGCACCTTCGGTCACCCTCATACTCCTACCCCCTCTGCCTTCCATTCCTCCTACGCCCAACCACCAGCTGGGCTCCTAATCCCTGACTGTCTAGTGTTTTGGGACATCTCTTTACTCCACACACACACACACACGCCACTGTTTACAGAGCAGTAAACAGGAACTTGGTTGTTCGTCAGCTGGTGAATTGCTTTTCCGGGGGTATAATCCCTTCAAAAAATTAATAAATTAATTAAGAATAGTAATTTGGTCACTCAATCCACGACTGTCTGTTGAACACTGCCGTGCGGAATTGGCTGCCATGTTTCGCCCACAAAATACACAGTCGCTAGCTACACTTTACAGTATATCCGGTAAAGCGCTTTGAGATATCTCGAAGACATGATAAAGCGCTGAATCAAATGCAAGGATTATTATTATATTATGAAAACAAGCCTATTGAGGATTACATTCATTGCGTTAATTTCTGTTTGAACAGAGCTCAAAGCGATCAGTATATCAGGTATAAAAAAGAGAAATCATCTCTGCGTTTGTGCAAAAAAAAGATCAGTGGTTAGAGCAAAAAAAATTGGTCACTTCAATCCACGACTGTTTGTGGGACACTGCTGTGCACAATTGGCTGCTGCGTTTCGCCCACAAAATATTATATCATAAACAAATTATCTTATTTGGTCCACAAAATACACAGTCAATTCACTTTACAGTTCATTAATAATACACTTCATTAGTAATAAATTACAGTATATTCTGTGAAGCACTTTGAAACGTCTCGACAAAGTGATAAGGTGCTGTGTCAAATGCAAGGACTATCATACATTGTCAATTCATTATTTCTATTAATGTTTTTGTGATATTCAGATTCCAGAAAATGGGAAGTTTCAAAAGGTAAAAAAGAAATGTTGTTATTAATAAAATCTCACTTTACAATTCAACGAAAACTTGAATTAATTTAATTTTTTTTAATTTTGATATTAATTATTTCTTATAAAATGTATGTAAACTATAGAAATTGAAAATATTCAAAATCTTAATTTTATTCATTAAATATTGCTTAAGTAAAATATGCTTTTATTTGCGAATAGATAAATAATTGAATATATCAATATAAATATATGTAAATAATATAAACAAAGTCTTCTCATTCTCCTGTCTCACTTATTGTTTAATATTAATTCTTACATTTGATATAGCGCTTTTCACGTCTTCCAGACATCTCAAAGAGCTTCACAAAATATACTGTAAAGTGTAGTGACTGTATTTTGTTGGCAGAACGCAGCAACCAATTGCACACAGCAACATCCCACAAACAGTCTTGGATTGAGTAGCCACATTTTTTGCGGTCCTCTCGCTTGCGAGGCGAGTGCTCTAACCACTAAACTACAGGACACCAGATTAGAATTATTTAATAATTTATAAAATTAAATAAAGTAAAATGGGGGTGGGGGCGGAGGTAGGAACAGGCTTTCTATATCCTAACCCCCATCTTGTAACCTTGAGAATCTGTGACATTTCAGTGATAAATGATTTAAATCAACAAAGACGTGAGTAATCTTTCTAAAATCTTCCTAAAGTTTTTAGTGTACACCTGACTTCAAATATTGTAACAAATCTGCACTGACGAATCTAAATTTCTTTATTTGCAGAAAGAATTGACAAGGATTTCGAAACAGGTAAACGCAATAAACAATAATCATAACAATCATAATAATTTTTAAAATCATAATAACTATAATTGTTATAATTGTAGTACAACTATAATAATTATTATAATCAGATTAATAACCATAATCAGCATAATAATAATCATCATTATGACGATGATAATAGAAATAATAGAATTGAAAAGGATTTTGAAACAGGAAACTATTAATATAATACGAATAGCAATAATAATATTAATAATCATAATAATCCTTGCCTTCGCCACAATGCCTTATCACACCGGGAGGGAGGGAAGACATTTCAAAGCACTTTGCGGGATTTTGCATTGAATCAAAACCTATATCCTCTCAATCAATTCTTTCCCCTAAGGTTTAGTTCTGCATTTGATATTTTAAAATTTCTGTGATTTCCACCCCCTCCACCTCCCTCCAGAACAATTCCGTGTGGAAAAACAAATCCACGATTTGGGTGAGTAAATTATCCCCTTTGGCAAACCATTAATGGAATCCTGTAGCTCAGTGGTTAGAAATAATGCGATCACTCAATCCACGACTGTTTGTGGGACGTTGTTGTGCGCAATTGGCTGCCGCGCTTCTCCCGCAAAACACGCAATCGCTACACTTTACAGCATATCCTGTGAAGCGCTTTGAAACGTCTCGAAGACATGATAAGGCGCCGTATCAAATGCAAGGATTATTATCATTATTATTGGTCACTCCAATCCACGACTGTTTGTGGGACACCGCTGTGCGCAATTGGGAAGTTTATTACTATTATTATTTTATTTCTTTGAAACGAAAGAGAACGAAATCAGAGAGTCCATTTTAGGTAAAAAAATAATTACGATCCTAGAGATTTACAGTTGATGTTGGCAGTCACCCAATCACCGAATGGATCGATTTCAAGATCCCCTCGCTTCTCTTCAAATTGCTTCGCGCCCTCGCACCTCCCCACCTCTCCGACCTGCTTACCCCCCCCTCCACCACTCGCTGCCTCTGCTCGGCTGGCTCCGGTCTCCTGTTTGTTCCTCGTCCCCTCCGCTCCACCGTTGGCGGCCGTGCCTTCAGCCACTACGCCCCAAAACTGTGGAACTCTCTCCCTCAATCCCTCCACCTTGCTCCCTTCCTCCTTCCCCCCTCTCAAATTCCACCTTCCTTTTTGACCGTGCTTACAGTCACCTCCCTCCTCCTCCCTTTCTTCGGTGTCAGATTCCGCTACTGTCAAGTGCTCTGGGACACTACCCCTGTGAAGGGCGCTGTGTAAATGCAAATTGTCTTTGTTGTTGTTGTTTGATAATGCCCCCAAAATATACAATCAATTGACTTTACAGTATATTCTGTGAAGTGTTTTGAGGCGTCTCGAAGATGTGATAAGGCGCTATATCAAATGCAAGGATTATTATTATTATTATTAACGTCAACACAATGCTCCCCTTTCAGAATGTAACAGGCATTCAGGTAAATACTTTAAGATTGATGTAACAATGCAAAAAATGCATTTTGTTCCTTACATTTTTAAGGAGTGATAAATGGAGTTGACCATTTGGGCGAGTAATTATTTCGATTTTTATTGTTTTGTTTCAGCGTTGGATCAAATCTACTCAGATATCAGTGAAGCACGTAAGTCTGAGCTCTAGTCTTGGAGTCTTGTATCTCAGTGGTTAGAGGACTTGCCTTGCAAGCCAGAGGACATCGGTTCGATTCCCAGGCAGGTCAGGGCAAAATGTTGGGCAAGTTTCCTTACTCCACACACACACGCCTCTGTTTACCTAGCAGTGAGTAGGAACCCAGTTGTTAGACGATTAGCAAATCGCTTTTCCGGGGGTAATAATTCCTTCAAAAAATCAAAAATTAGTAATAATAATAAATTGGTCGCTTCAAACCACAACTGTTTGTGTGCCATTGGCTGCTGAGTGTCGCCCACAAAACACAGTCAAATCACTTCACAGTGTTTCCTGTGAAATGCTTTGAGACCTGTTGAAGACGTGATAAGGGCCTATATCAAATGCAAGGATTATTATTATTATTACGCTACGAGATGGAATCTCTCCTGGACTGTAATAATAATAATAATCCTTACATTTGATATAGTGCCTTATCACGTCTTCGACACGTCTCAAAGCGCTTCACAGAATATACTGCAAAGTGAATTGACTGTATATTTTGACTCACTTGACTGTAAGGGGAGCGAGCGTTGGGATTGTGGGTTTGTGGCTGGTGGGAATGTATTCAGTTATAATAATAATAAGCTTTGAATTTGATATTTTGCCTTGTTAATAAAATAATAATAATCCTTGCATTTGGTTTAACGCCTTATCACGTCATCGAGATACCTCAATGGAGGATGGGGTTGAGACGAGACAATCACTCTATTTTTGTTTCCTAACAGAATTAAAACTGCTAGAGAAAGAGATCAGTAAGTTAAGAGTTAATGTTTTGCAGAGGGGAGGAGGGAGCCAGGCTGACATCCTTCTCAATGTCATGGGATTTTTTTCCCCCCAGTGAATCTCCAATGTGAAAATGTCTCACGTAAGCAAACTTTAGAACCAATTCTGCCTGCAAAGCATGGTTATGTGTGTGTGTGTGTGTGTTTGTGTTTCTGAGAGTGTGTGTGGTTTGTGAGTGTGTGTGCGTTTCTGTGACTGAGTATGTGTGTGAGTGTGTGTGAGTGTGGTTCTGTTTGTGTCTGCATGTGTGAACGTGTGTGCGTGTCTCTGCCTTTGTGTGTTTGAAAGTGGGCCTGTCCGTGTCAACGTGTGTGTCTGAATGTGTGAGTGTGTGTGTCTGTGTAAGTTTGTGTCTCAGTGTTTGTGTGTTTGTCTGAGTGTTTCTGTATCTGAGTGGTGTTTGTGTGAAATCCTGCCGAGCACTTTGAGATGTCCTTCTGATGTGATAAGGAGCTGTTGCGAATGTGAGATTATTGTTCACAATAAATAACTGACCCAACCCCCCGCCCCCTCTAGTTCTGTGTATGTGTGTGTGCGTCTTTCTCTCTCTGTCTCTTTGCTTCTGTCTCTCTCTGTATCTCTGTTTCTCTGTGTCTGTCTCTCTTTCTCTCTGTGTCTCTCTGTGTCTCATTCTCTGTGTCTCTGTCTCGTTCTCTCTCTAGGACTCTCCCGGACAAAGGCACAGTATGACATCGGTGGTAAGGGCATTTTTGATTACATTTTTGGTTTATAATATAATAATAATAATTATCCTTGCATTTGATACAGTGCTTTATCACATCTTCGAGACTTCTCAAAGCGCTTCACAAGATTTAGCACTGTAAAGTGGAATGACTGTATATTTTGTGGGCGAAACGCGGCAGCCAATTGCACACAGTAATGTCCCACAAACAGTCACAGATTGAGTGACCAAATTATTTTTATTTATTTTGAAGCAATTATTATCCCCGGAAAAGCAATCCACCAATCGACTAGTAGCCAGGTTCCTACTTACTGCTAGGTAAACAGAGGCGTGTGTGTGTGGAGTAAGGAAACTTGCCTAAGGGTTTGCACTGATCCACCTGGGAATCGAACCCAGGTCCTCTTGCTTGCGAGGTGAGTGATCTAACCATGAAGCTATCATATAATATGATACAATATACAGTCACTACACTTTATAGTATATCCAGTGAAGCGCTTTGAGACATCTCAACAACGTGATAGGGCACTATATCAAATGCAAGGATTATTATTATTATTGTTACCTTTCTGTTTTTTTTGTTAGATGAGAGAATGGAGTATTATAAAAACGGTAAATCATTTTATCCGACGAAGCCTTGAAAAAAAAGGAACAATATATTTATTTCTGGAGATAAACAAGTGACTTTACAATATTGTATTGTTGATCATTTTCTGATCACACACACAGACACACTCAGACACACACACACTCAGATTTTCACACACACACAGACAGACACACACACTCAAAAACACACACGGACACAGATAGACAGACAGAAACACACACACTCAGATTTTCACATACACACACAGACAGAGAGAGACACACACAGACAGATAGACAGACAGAGACACACACAGAGACACAGACAAACAGAGACACATGCAAACACACTCAGAGAGACACACAGACACACACACAGACAGACAGATACACACACATAGATAGACATATAGACATACACACACACAGATAGACACACACAGACACAAAAACTGTAAGCATACACAATTTAATTTTCTTGATTTGTCTTAAGAGCTCAAAGAATTTGACTATAGAGGACGTAAGTGTTGTTGATGATGTTGATAATAATAATAATCGTTGCATTCGAGACGTCTCAAAGAGCTTCACAAGATACACTGTAAAGTGAATCGACTGTGCATTGCGCACACCAGTGTCCCACAAACAGTCATGGATTGAGTGACCAAATTATTTTTATTAAGGGATTATTACCCCCGAAAAATCGATACGCCAATCAGTTAACAACTGGGTTCCTACTTACTGGTAGGTGAACAGAGGCATGTGTGTGCGAAGTAAGGAAACTTGCCCAAAGTTTTGGCCAGACCTGTCCGGGAATCGAACTCAGGTCCTCTTGCTTGCGAGGCGAGTGCTGTAACCACTGAGCTACAGGACTCCCCATCGATGATGTTGATTTTGTTGCCGTTGATGATGCTGTTGTTGATGTCACTTTTGCGATAACAGAACAGAAAAGCAAGGGGCTTGAGTCAGGTAAAACATGACTTACCTTAAGATATATGCTAAGGCGCAAAAAATCTGGTGTGAAATTGTGAGTTCTGTTTTGTAAATTGGCCTTCGAATGACATGCATCTCAGTCAAACAAAATCCAATTCACTCTTGCACAACACAAAACAAGTGGTTAGAGCACTCGCCTCGCAAGCGAGAGGACCTGGGTTCGATTCCCGGGCTGGTCAGGGCGAAACATTGGGCAAGTTTCCTTACTCCCCACATACACACACACACACGCCTCTGTTTACCCAGCAGTAACTAGGAATCCACTAGTTAGTCGATTAGCAGATCGCTTTTCTGGGGGTAATAATCCCAGAAAAAAAATTGGTCACTCAATCCAAGACTGTTTGTAGCTTTTGACAGTGGCGGAGTCTGAAAATAAATTATAATAATAATAATATTCCTTGCATTAGATGTAGCGGGTCTGTTACTGCTGGGTAAACAGAGGCGTGTAAGGAAACATTTCACCCTGCACCTCCTGGGAATCGAATCCAGATCCTCTCGCTGACGAGATGAAAGCTCTGATCACTGAGCTACAGGACTCCCAATTATTCTGGGGTGAAAAATGGAGTTTGATTCAATGTGTTTTTGCAGGAAAAATGTATTCTTATTTTTTTTTCCGCCTATTTCTCCCCACCCAGAATTACAAATACTGACGATAAAATTGAAGATCGCAGGTTAGTAGGAGAGAAAAGATCCGAAACAAAAGACATTTTAAAAAATACATTAACCTTTACACTGTTCTTTTCTGATGAAAGTTTAACCTAACTCACTCCCCCTCCCAACCCGTCTGTGCTCTGATCAGGGCGGACGTTAAAGATCTCCTTCCTGGTGACCTGGCCGACAATCCCCCAGACAAAAACACTCGCTCGTCATTCTACATAATAATAGTAATAATAATAATAGTAATAATCCTTGCATTCGGTATAGCGCCTCATCACGTCTTCGAGACGTCTCGAAGCACTTCACAGAAAATAAGATAAATGATGATATTGTTGATATTGTTGATAATGTGTCAGTATTATTGATCTGTCTGTCCATCACTGAAAAACACATGGAAACTGCCTCTACACAGTGATATAATAACATAATAATAATAGTAATGACTTTCTAATGCACTGGTAAATGTAAGTTGCACTCTCAAAGCATTTGACTGTTTCTTATTCTCTTGTTGCAACAGAAGAAAAAAGTTTTAGCAATCTGAAAGGTACAGACTTCAATCGTGAAAGTCAGCCATACCCTTACTCTCTCCCCTCCTTGCCTACATTCAGATCACACCTTTCCTCTTCAAGACTTTCCTCTTCAACCACACTTACGGTCACCTCTCTCCCTCCCTCCTTCCCTCCCTCTATCGCTCTCACTCTTTAAGTGTCGCTGCCTAGCACTCCAAGATGTTGCGCTGTGTGAACGGTGCTGTGTAAATTGATGATAATAATTACAATTAATACATTTAAAGCACTTAATGCAGTGCCTTATCACATCTTTGAGACGTCTCAAAGCGCTTCATGGGATACTGTAAAGCGTAGTGACTATGTTTTGTGGGAGAAATATAGCAGCCAATTACAGACAACAATGTCCCACAAACAGTCATGGATTGAGTGACCACATTATTATTTTTTAAGGGATTATTACTGCTTTAATAATGTTGATGATGTTGATGATTATGTTGATATTGTTGAAGTCTGGATATATCTATGCATATTTCACAGAATGGAAGAATTGTAAAATGATTAGAAGTGAGTATTTAACAAGAAACAAACATTCTTTTTTGTCATCTCCCACTGGAGCCCTGTAGCTCAGTGGTTAGAGCACTCGCCTCGCAAGCAAGAGGACCTGTGTTCGATTCTCGGGCGGGTCAGGGCGAAACCTGGGGCAAGTTTTCTTACTTCACACACACACACACGCCTTTGTTTATCGAGCAGTAAGTAGGAACCCGGTTGTTAATCAAATATGGCGGATCGCTTTTCCGGAGGTAATAATCCCTACCAAAAAAAAATTAAATAAACAATGATAATAACGCGGTCACTGAATCCCCGACTGTTTGTGGGTCACTGCTGTGCGCAATTGGCTGCCATGTTTCGCCCACAAAAAATATACAGTCAACTCACTTTGCAGTGCATTCTTCCTGTGAAGCGCTTTGAGATGTCTCAAAGATGTGATGAGGTGCTATATCAAATGCAAGGATTATTATTATTATTACTATTATTATTAATGTGTCTTGGGATGTCTTCCAGATGTGAAAGGTGCTGTGTGTATAAATGTAAATTTGTGTAGTATTTGCTCGCGACTGAATATATATTTTGTTCTAGAATTAAAGCAGTCGCTCGAATATAACAGTAAGTCAGTAATAATACGTTGTGGGTTCAAGACCACCCCCCCACACACACAGACACACACAGACACACATGCACATAGACAGACACACACACACACGTCAGGGACTCGGAACGCATATAGTCTAAACTGACGTTCCAGCACGGCACTGGGGGGAGAGAGAGAGCACTGTATTGTCGTAGACAAGGTCCTTCGGATGAGACATTAAACCTCACTCATTCCCTCTCCCCCAACCTCCCATCTGTGCCCTGTTCAGGGCAGACGTTAAAAGATCTCCCGGTGTCCTGTCTGACAGATAAAATCGCTCACTCGTTTCACATCTTATGTTCGGCGTTTCAGGAAAGGAATTGCTCAGAGCAAGAGAAGGTAAAGTGCAGTGTGTGTCTGGTGGGGTGGGGTGGTGCAAGGGAGCTTATCTAGTTATGTGGAGTTCTGTAGTGCAGTGGTTAGAGCGCTCGCCTCGCAAGCGAGAGGACCTGGGTTCGATCTCCGAGCAGGTCAGGACAAAAGCTTTGCCAAGTTTCCTTACTCCACACACACACACACGCACGCTTCTGTTTACCTAGCAGTAAGTAGGAGCCCGGTTGTTAGTTGATTAGCGGATTACTTGCAGGGGGTAATAATCCCTCCAAATAAATAACAATTTGATCACTCAATCCATGACTGTTTGTGGTACGTTGCTGTGCGCGATTGGCTGCCTCGTTTCGCCCACAGAAAATACAGTAAATTTACTTTACAGTGTATCCTGTGAAGCGCTTTGAGACATCTCGAAGATGTGATAAGACGCTGTATCAAATGGAAGGATTACGATTATTATTATCTGCCTTCTGTCGATTCGAATTTTTTTTTTAATCTTTTCCTCCCTCAGAAATAATGATTTGCAAGAAACTTGCTGGTGAATTTATGACATTGATTTTGTAGAACCATTTCTATCCGAAAAGGGAAGGGAGTTTCGCTCTCTCCCCCGGTGTCCTGGCTGATAATCCCCCCACCCCTCAGATAAAGTCACTCACTGACTTCACGGCTGTTTGCGGGTAGGTCACTGAGTGTGAAAACGGGGGCTGCCTGCCGCACCCACAGTCACTACACTTCACTGACATGTAGCTTAGTGGTTAAAGCACTCGCCTCACAAGCGAGAGGATCTGGGTTCAAGTCCTGGACAGGTCAGGACGAAATGTTGGGTAGGTTTCCTTACTCCACACGCACGTTTCTGTTTATAAATCACTTGTGTATATCAAGGTAAATTGGAAGTGGATTTGAACATAAAGTGAACTCAAACAGAAATGTTGATGATTTAATGGAGATGTGTGGCATGAATATTTCTTTGCAGACGATAAAATATCTTCAGTCAAAGAAGCAGGTGAGGAGGAACTTATTTTTTGGGGGCTAAACACTGCCAATTAGTGTTTTCAGATAAGACGTTAAACCTCACTCACTTCCTGGGCGACAATCCGCCAGAAAAAATCGCTCGATTCTTGACTGTTTGCGGGGACGTCGCTGTGCGCAAAACCAAATGCACAGTCACTACACTACACTTCACGGTGAAAATCCCGCAAAGAGCTTTGAGACATTCTCCCTCCCTCCCTCCCAGTATTGTGATAACGGGTCTTAACGTGATGAGGACAATTATTTAATAATTTTAATACAAAGTCAATTCACTTTACAGTCATTTGGTCACTCAATCCACGACTGTTTGTGGAAAGTTGCTGTGCGCAATTGGCTGCTGTGTTTTCCCACAGAACGCACAGTCACTACACTTTAGTGTATCCCGTGAAGCGCTTTGAGACACTTTGAAGACGTGTTAAGGCGCTGCATCAAATCCAACGATTATTATTATTAATTACAGAACTTATATGTTTGAAGCAAACTATTCTAGATAATGGTGAGATTATTATCATTCGTTTAACCTCCTCCTTCCAAAATCTGATTGGAATTTTATACCTCTATAGGTAAATTCTAAGTGTAAATGCAAATGGTTTTGTTGTTGTTGTTGTGGAGTCCTGTAGCTCATTGGTTAGAGCACTCGTCTTGCAAGCGAGAGGACTCAGGTTCGATTCCCGGGCGGGTCAGGGTGAAATCTTGGGCAAGTTTCCTGACTCCACACACACGCACACACCTCTGTTTACCTAACAGTAAGTAGGAATCTGATTGTTAGTCGATTGGCAGATCACTTTCCGGGGGTAATAATCCCTCCAAAAAAAAATAATCATTTGGTCACTCAATCCACGACTTTGGTGGGACACTGCTGTGTACAATTGGCTGCCACGTTTCACCCACAAAGTATACAGTCACTACTCTGTACAATATATTCTGTGAAGCGCTTTGAGATGTTCAGAAGGTGCTGCATCAAATGCAAGGATTATTATTATTATTTCCTCCCGCTGTGCAAAAGGCGCTGTACAAATATCATTTGTTGTTGTTGATGATTTCTTTGTATTGTTCTATCTAGACGTGTTGTTGGCTCAGAAAGAGAAAGGTCAGTGAATGTGGGTTTGAGGAGGTGACAGAGAGAGAAAGAGGGATGTGAGAGAAAGTGAGTGAGATAGAAATGTGAGAAAAAGTGAGGGAGAGTGAGACTGAGAGAGAAAGTGAGAGAGAGAGAGAGAGAGGACACAGGCTACAGACTTCTGGATAGTCTGAGGTTTTGGGTACAGAGGGAGAAAAAGGCACTTGGGAAATGGAGGGTGAAATATGATTATTTTTTAATATTCAGAACTTGAGGAATGCAGCAAAAGAAACAGTAAGTGAAACACTACACTCCACGGTGAAAAATCCCGCAAAGTGCTTTGAGGCGTCCTCCCTCCTGACGTGATAAGGCGCCGTGTTGAATACGAGGATAATTATTAATTATTGTTATTAAAATTATTATTATCGCTAAGAGAAGCTGGGAGTCCTGTAGCTCAGTGGTTAGACCACTCGCCTCACAAGCCAAAGGATCTGGGTTTGATTCCCGGATGGGTCAGGGTGAAATATTTCCTTGCTCCACACATGCACCCCTCTGTTTATTCAGTAGTAAGTAGGAATTGGCTTGTTAGTTGATTGCTTTTCCGGGGGTAATAATCCCTTAAAAAAAAATAATAATTTGCGCACTCAATCCACGACTGTGTGTGGAACACTGCCGTGCGCAATTGGTTGCCATGTTTCACCCACAAAATACACAGTCACTACACTTTACAGTATGTTCTGTGAAGCGCTTTGAGACGTCTCGAAGACTTGAGAAGGCACTATCTCAACAGGTTTATTATTATTGTTATTATTAAAATTATTATTGTTTTTCAGTCCAGTATCATAACAGCAGAATGTTAGGTAACTGCTTCACTTATCCTAACGTCCCTGTGAATGTATTGATTGATTGATTTTCATTAAGGTTATGATAATGCAAAAAAGATATAAAACAAATAATATATCTGAGGGAGGGAGGGAGAGAGGGAGTTTCTTTCTTCTGAAACCTGCACTCCTCTTAAAAAAAATTAAGAAATGTGACTCTTTTCTCATTTACACAGATATTAAAAACCTGGCTCAAACTTTGTTAGAAACAGGTGTGAAATATTTTTGAGCATTTGTTTATTGTCATTGTTGTTGATGTAGATGATGTTGATTTCAAGATCCTCTCACTCGAATCCCTTCACGCCCTGGCAACCCCCACCACCCCCACCCCCCCAAACTCCCCGACCTGCTTACTCCCCACTCCACCACCCGCTGCCTCTGCTCGTCTGGCTCTGTTTGATCCTCCTGCTCTCCGTTCTACCATCAGTGGCCGTGCCTTCAGCCAGTACTCCCCGAAACTCTGAAACTCTCCCCCTCAATCCCTCCACCTTGCCCCACACTCCCCACCTTCAAATCCCGTCTAAAGATCTTTCTTTTTGATCGTGCTTATGGTCACCTCCCTCCCTCTCCCCGTGGCTCAGGGTCAAACTCCGCCGTTGTCTCGCGCTCCGGGACACTACCCTGCGTGTGAAGGGCGCTGTGTTAACGCAAGTTGTTGTTGATGATGTTGACATTATTGTTTATGATGCTGTTAAGAATTGTTAGTAATTTAATTAATTAAACGCGGTAAATTAACCCTCAATTTCCGCAGAGATGAAGACTAACGCAGCAGCGAAAGGTATTGAATGGGAGAAACGAGATCTATTTCACAGTTCCCAAACCCATGATCATATTTGCTGATTATAGCAATATTTATTTCTCTTATTTACTCTTATTTTCTCTTCTTTTAAATCACAAAAACCTTCCAATATCTGTCTTTACTAGAATACAAGGAGAGCCTTGTCAAATCAGGTCAGAGATTATTTGACATGAATATAATAAGAATAATATTCCTTGCATTTGATACGGCGCCTTATCACGTCTTCGAGACGTCTCAAAGCGCTTCACAGGATATACTGTCAAGTGAATTGACCGTATTTTGTGGGAGAAATGCGGCAGTCAATTGCGCACAGCAATGTGTCACAAACAGTCGTGGATTCAGTGACCAAATTATTATTATTTATTTATTTTGTGGAGAGGATTATTACCCCTGGAAAAGTGATCCGTCAATCGACTACTACCGTGTCCCTTCTTACTGCGAGGTGACGTGCGTGTGTGTGTGGAGTAAGGCAACTTGCCCAACATTTCGCCCTGACCCGCGCGGGAATCAAATCCAGGTCCTCTCGCTTGCGAGGTGAGTGCTCTAACCACTGAGCTACAGGACACCACAACTAGTGTTGATGATGATGTTGGTGTTGGTGATCACACATTCACTATAAGAATCTTATCATGATTTAGGATTGGAAGAACTTCGAAAAATCTTCTTCGAAGCAGGTGAGAAAATTACCAGGAATAAATAAAGAGTTTTGATTCATTCGCTGCTTTCGCTTTAACTGGAGACCTGTAGCTTAATGGTTAGAGCGCTCGCCTCACAAGCGAGAGGACCTGGGTTCGATTCCTAGGTGGGTCAGGGTGAAATGTTGGGCAAGTTTCCTTACTCCACACACACACGCACACCTCCGTTTACCTTGCAGCAAGTAGGAACATGGTTGTTAGTTGACTGGCTTTCCTGGGGTTAATAATTCCTTAAAAAAATAAAAATAATAATAATTTGGTCACTTCAATCCACGACTGTTTGCGGGACACTGTTGTGCACAATTGGCTGCCGCGTTTCGCCCACAAAATATAGTCAATTCACTTTACAGCGTATGCTGTGAAGCGCTTTAAGACATCTTGAAGACTTTTAAGACATCTTGAAGACGTGACAAGGCATTACATCAAATGCAAGGATTATATACATATTTTTGTTCGGTGAATTCGATTTTGTGATTTTTTTTCATTGATGTCGGTAACAGAGAAGAAATATTTGGCCAATAAAGAAGGTAAATTGTACGATGCAATACCAAATGAGATTTACACGGCGCCTTTTCACGTCTGGAGGATTTCCCAAGGCACTGGATACTCAGGGATGTGGACCCGAGTTGGAGGTTGGGATAAGGAGGGGTGGAGGGCGGGGAGGATGGGGATAGGAGGGTGACCGAAGGTGCGGTTGGTCGAAGACGAAGATCTTGAGTCGGGCCTTAAAGGAGGCAAGGGTAGGGGTGAAGAGAAGGGACTGTGGGATGGAGTTCCAGAGGGTGGGGGCACAGAGGCTGAAGGCGCAGGCTAGGCTGGGCGGGGCACGTGAAGCAGGCGGAGCCCGCTGAACGGAGGGAGTGGACAGGATGATAAGGGGTTAGGAGGTCACAGAGGTAGGGAGGAACAAGGCCATGGAGAGCTTTGAAGGCGAGGACCAGGATCTTGAACTGTATCCTCTGGTGGATCGGGAGCCAGTGGAGCCGGGTGGGGTTGATGGGATCATGGAGTCTGGTGCAGGAGAAGACACAAGCTGCAGAGTTCTGAATGATCTGCAGATTGTGGAGGAAAGAGTTGGGAAAGCTGACAAGCAGGGAGTTGGCGTAGTCGAGCCTAAATGTGATGAAGGTGTGGATGAGGGTTTCAGAGGCCTGAAGGGTGAGGCAGTGGATAGAGAAACCTCAATAAATTAGCTCGTCAAAGGTACTTTTATGGGAATTTTTATGTTAAATTAACAAAAGCATGCAAATGTTATCGAATTTCCCCCTACAGGATTTGGAAAATCATATTGGGAATCGAGTGAGTACATTTTTATAGATGTTTCCTTTGGGGGAAAAAGAGAATTTCTTTCTCTTTCCGAATCAAGATTCTTATTATTATTTTATTGTAGTTATTATTTATTTAATTATTATTGGTTGCATTATTGTTGCACTTGTTATAATTTTGCCCACAAAATACGCTTTGAGACTTAACAACAATGTGATAAGGCGTTGGATATAATAATAATCTTTGCATTTGATATAGCGCCGTATCACGTCTCCGAGGCGTCTCAAAGCGTGTAGCGACTATATAGTTTGTGGGTGAAACGCGGCAGCCAATTGTGCACACCAGCGTCCCACAAACAGTCATGGATTGAGTGACCGAATTATTATTATTTTTATTTTATTCTTTAAAAAGGAACCCACTTGTTAGTCGATTAGCGGATCGCTTTTCCGGTGGTAATAATCCCTTAGCAAAAAACAATAATTTGGTCACTCAATCCACGATTGTTTGTGGGAAGTTGCTGTGCGCAATTGGCTGCTGTGTTTCGCCCACAAAATATACAGTCACGATACTTTACAGTGTATCCTGTGAAGTGCTTTGAGACGTCTCGAAGATGTGATAAGGTGCTATATCGAATGCAAGTATTATTAGTAGTAGTACTAGTTGTATTTATGTTGAATTGATTAGTATAATATTATCACAGTTATTAATAGTAATTATAATGATAATGACAATTAAATCCTTTTTTTATATAATTACCATTGATTATTTGTTTCCAGAACTTGAGAAGAGAACCATAGAATATGAAATGGAATACATTCGTGAGAAAAAAACTTAACTATTTTGTTTTNAAAATATATATACAATTTGTAGTCCTGTAGCTTAGTGGTTTGAGCACTCGCATCGCAAGTGAGCGGACCTGGTTCGATTCCGGGGCGGGTCAGGGCGAAACATTAGGCAAGTTTCCTTACTCTAAATGCTTCTGTTTACCTAGCACTAAGTAGGAACCCAGTTGTTAGTCGATTGGATTGGCGGATCGCTTTTCCGGGGGTAATAAACCCTACAAAATAAATACAAATAATTTGGTCACTCAATCCACGAAGTTGCTGTGCAATTGGTTGCCGCGTTTTGCCCACAAAATATACAGTCAATTCACTTTACAGTGTATCCTGTGAAGCGCTTTGAGATAACTATATTCTAATAAGGTCAGCTCATGCAGAACTCTGCCGCCCGCAAACTCACCCAGACCAAACTCTGTACCCACATCTCACCGGTTCTGGCCCAGGCTCCACTGGCTCCCCATCACCGAATGGATCGACTTCATAATCCTCACACGCGTGTTCAAATCCCTTCACTCTCTGGCACCTCCCGACTTCCCCGACCTCTTTACTCCCCAATCCACCACCCGACGCCTCCGCTCGACTGGCCCCGGCCTCCTGCTCGTCCCTCGCACTCTCCGCCCACCATCGGAGGTCGTGCTTTCAGCCACTACTCCCTGAGAATCTGGAACACTCTCCCTCAATCCTTCCGCCTCGCCCCCACTCTCCCCTTTTTCATGTCCCGCCTGAAAACTTTCCTCTTCGACCGTGCTTATGGCCACCTCCTCCTCCCCAACTTGGAGTCAGGCTCCGCCACTGTTAAGCCTTCTGAGATGCTATCTCTGCATGTAAGGTGCTGTATAAGAGCAAGTTGTTGTTGTATATCAAATGCAAGGAGTATTATTATTAGAATTCTTTAATTTAATCTTAAAGTGCTCGATCAGATCATCTCCTTAACATGCTTTGTTCCAATCTATTTTTCGAAACATCACACAAACTCTGTAACGTGTTAGAATTAATAATAATAATAACGTCTCGAAGTACTTCACGGGATACACTGTACAGTGTAGAGACTGTATGTTTCGTGGGCGAAACGTGGCAGCCAATTGCGCACAGCAACATCCCACAAACAGTCATGGATTGAGTGACCACATTATTATTATTTATTTTATTCGTGTTTGTTATTATTTTATTGAGATATTTATTGTTGAGTCGGGCCATTTTTATTCCATCTCCCCTCTCACCCCAGGGACCAGAATTGAACTAAAAAAGAAAGGTATATTTTCTCTGTCTCTCTCTCTCTCACCCTCTGTCCACGTCACTCTGTCTCTGTCCATCACTCCATCTCACTCTCCATCTCTCTCTGCCACTATCCATTTCTTTCCTCCTCATCCCCACTCCCCAAATGCCTGAATATGCATCATTAATTCAAACTGTAAATTTCTTCCATGAATTTTGCAGATTTCATCCAAATGGATTTCAACTATGGTGAGAATTTCTTTTAAAAATTAAAATATCATAAAACACAGTTAGAAATAATGGGATTATTAAATAATTTGTAATAACTGTAGCATTTCCTTCCTACATCATGTTTATTTATTACAGATAGGAAAGCGGCAAATATCAAAGCTGGTAATAATCATAATAATTAATACCCATTAATGATGATAAATCATAATTATTAATAATAATAAAAATACTCGCCGCTCGACAAGGCTCCTTATCACGTTGGGAGGGAGGGAGGATCTCTCAAAGCGCTTTGCGGGCAGGCCCCGTTTTGCTCACAGCGCGGTCTTCGCGAACAGCCACGAAGCGTGCGAGCGATTTTATCTATCAGCCGGGACACCGGGGGAGAGAGCGAGAGAGAGAAAAACTCACCTGGCTGATCACGGTGACGGGTTTCCGTGTGTGTTGTTGTTGTCACAGTTACCCTCTTTGTGTACCCCCCCCCCCTCAGTAACATGTAAGTAATATATATATATATAGTTATATAGCTACATAATATTATTTAAGGGCAGTGGGGGAGACTTACCCCTTTTAATTAGATTCTGGTGAAGCAAAAGCTTGCAAACGATTTAGTTGCAAAGCTGTTTGCAAAAGAAACAGCAAAACAGCATACACCAGATGCCCGGCCTGAAACAACAGCTGGACTGGAGGTTGCTTGATTGACAGGCGGTGAGCAAACCGACTGGAAAGTCGCATGGACGCTCACGTGGGGAAAAAAAAAGCCACACGCATGTGCGGGTGGAGCCCAAGGGCCCTATGAAATGCAGTGCTCGGTGTACGCTTCCTGGTTGCTGTCTAATGGGCGCCACCCGGTAAGTACCGACGTGAAACAGGATCACTGTGCAAGTCAGGTCGGTTTAAGTGGCTTTATATGGATGTGGTATTGTGCTGCTGGTTGTTATAGTTCTCTTGTGTGTTAATTATATTTGACCCCCGATGCTGTCTAGCTTACATTGTGGTCGTCCTTATCTGCCCAGGGAGCCTAGGGTTGTTCGGTCTTAATACAGACCTGTTGTTTTTAACCGATTGTTTCCTCGAGTCTCTGTAAATCTCCCAAGACAAGAAAATGAGTAAGTCTCTTAGAGAGCATCTGTCGACAGCCGCACCCCCACCCAGTTACCGGTCATTGGAGTTAACCGGGAATACCCGTGAGGGACTTGATTCTGGCTCGGCCGAGACGCCTTCGAGCAGGGACTCTCCCTGGCAGGTTTACGAAAGGACTAGAGGCCACTTGGTCCGCAAAAGTTACTAAACTTCACAAGTAGTACAACGAAGAGTGAGAACCGTCGCACTTGGCGCCCCGACACGGGGCTCGAGGACATTGACATAGAACTTGGGAATTTATTTCTGCTGGAGTGTAGAGATCAGATAATGGTAGATACAGGCGACTGGTAGGTAGAGCAACCGGGACAAATTACTAACATATAACGTTCCGCGAAACACATGGGGCGAACGCACCAAGATGGGGGAATGGCTATACGGACGAGGTGTAGCTGTTGAAAAATTACAGTAGCAGAAACAGAGAGGGAATGAGTGTGCTTCGTTGCAGCCGGGGGTGGGGGTGGGGAGGGGGTAACGCACGAGGTTAATCGACCCGAATAAAAATTAAATGAAAGTAAAACAGCGTAGGATCGGCTACACCTGAAAAAAATTCAGAGCAAAGCAGAGAATTCTCAAATCCCTGTGGGTACATGATAGGACAAGGGGGCCATTGTCTGTGAGCCTTGCCAGTCGTTCCTGCAGTCCGGTTATTATATGTGGAAAAATGTATAATCTTTAGTAGCTAAAGGTAACTGTGCTCAGTAAGAGTGTAGTGGGAGAGGAGCCTGAACAGAAAGGGAGAAGTGTGCTTGCAGGGGAGATAGAAGGCAGTGTAGATCTTGACCAAGTGCAGCCGGAGCTAGAGTCTCTGCGAGATGCCATCTTATTATTATTATTATCTTGCAGTGCTGCCCGCTGGCACTTGGAGTCATTGGAAAAGACCTGTTTGGGATCGTTGCAAGTGGGGGCTGACTCCGCGATAGCAAGGGTCCTGTCAAGAGGGGGAATCGATTCCTCTTAAGATACATTTAGTTTCCAATTTACTCGAGCCGAAACCAACTTCGACTTTGAGGAACGCAATCTCTCAGCTGCTACTACAATTTTAGCAAAAATCGGGAATTTATCACAGCATGGAGGGAAAATTAAAATTTCAACTGCCTGATGTTGGCATCAAATCGGCAGCACAGGGCAGGGGAGAAATGCTGAAAGGATTTAAGACCAAGATGGACTCTGTGGGAAAGGCTTTTACTAGACCCTACGTTGGAGTTTCACACTCGATTAAAATCAGATTTGGAGTTAGGGAGCTGACTAGCTCAAAGCAGACCCCCATTGGAAGCGGTAACTTTGGGACCTGATGGAAGGGTTAAATGCTTGTGTATCGCGATGGCTCTTTGCAGGAAGTCGAAAGGGTTAAGTTGTCCGGTGCTGAGATTGCTATCAGTAAATGGACGGCAGTGGGTTGGGAAGAGACGGAGAAACACTCTACCCTCTGCAAAACACATCCACTCAGACACCCAGCTGATCACGGTGACGGGTTTCTGACATCGATTTGGCGTTTTTTTTTATCTACAGCATTGAAGACAGCAAAGACATCGATAGAGAAAAAAAGTGAGTTGATGAGGAGTACTCTAACTCTTCTCTTTCTCTCTTCTCTGGCTCTCTCCCCCCCACCCCCACCCACCCCCCAGAACTGTGCTGGAGCGTCAGCGTAGACTATATGAGTGTGCGTGTTGGGTGGTGTGGCTCGAACCCACAACCTTTTGACTTGGAAGCGAGCGACTGAGACGCAAGATTCATTAGATAGCAATTTAAAAATAAAACCCTCTCGCTCGATTGGTAACTTTCCGTCAGCTTTCCATTAATCCGTTGATTGATTTGAAAATAATTTTCTGTGCAGAAAAGCGAGAAAACATCTATCAAATTAATGACAAAGCTTCACGTGAGCACATCTCTGTGTAACTAACATGAGTGTGTGTGTGTGTGTGTGTGTGTCGGACACCTGGCTGATCACAGTGATGGGTTTCCGTGTGTGTGTGTATGTGTGTGTGTGCGTCAGACACCCGGTTCATCATGGTGATGGGTTTCTGTGTGTGCATACGTGTGTGTGTGTGTGTGTCAGACACCTGGCTGATCACGGTGCCGGGTTTCCGTGTGTGTGTGTCAGACACCCAGCTGATCACAGTGTGTGTGTGTATGTGTGTGTGTGCGTCAGACACCCAGTTAATCATGGTGATGGGTTTCTGTGTGTGTATATGTGTGTGTGTGTTTGTATCAGACACCCGGTTGATCACGGTGACGGGTTTCAGTGTGTGTGTGTGCATGTCAAAGAGCTGGCTGATCACAGTGACGGGTTTCCACATGGGTTATCCAGATATCAAACCAGTTTGGGCAGAAAGATTTGTTGATTTTTTTTCTGCTATAGAAAGTGCACTTGAACAAGGAGAGCGTGGTAATTATGAACAATAAAAAATATTGTTACTTATTAACAACTGTAATCATAATATAAAAATCCGTGCACTCAATACGGTTTATATAACCTCCATTATACTTTATGCTTCAAAAGAAAAAAATATTAATAATGCAGTCACTAAATCCACAGCTATTTGTGGAACACTGCTGTGCGCAATTGGCTGCTGCGTTTTGCCGACAAAATATACAGTCACTACACTTTACAGTATAATCTGTGAAGCGCTTTGAGGTGTCTCGAAGACACGATAAGGCGCTATATCAAATGCAAGGATTATTATTATTATTAGCTTTCCCTCGCACATAATAAAATGTGTTGTCAATCCTAATAAGACATTTTATTTTGTATTGATTCGTTTAGCTTTGAAGGAAAATGCCAAGAAAAAGCGTAAGTAACTTTTTTTGGGTGATAGCTTTAATCAAAAATGATAATAACACACCCAGAGGCGCGCGGGCACAATGGCTAAAACAATCATTTCAGTTGCACGTTTGTCTTTAGTTTCTGCTGAATTGTAATCTCATTTTATCCAGAGTTTATTTATTTCATCTTATATTTGATTTTTTTTCGTTTTGCCAACAGTCGATGCTAAAAATCACATTAAACAAGGTAAATTAATATTATTAATAACCATCCTTAAGTTTCATGCAGTGCCTTTCACGGTGGGCGGACGTCCCAAACAGCACTTTGCAGGATACGCTATAAAGTGTAGTAACTGCGTTTTTACGGGCGATTGTATCTGGGAGATTTTTGGCCAGGACTGTGAGAGAGAGAGAGAGGGAGACAGAGAAAGAGAAATTCCCTTCTCTTTTCCTGACAGAGTTGTGGGAGATATTTAACGTCTGCCCTGACAGGGCAAGGAGAGGGAGTGAGTGAGGTTTGATGTCTCATTCGAAGGACAGTGTCTCCGACAATGCGGCATTCTTTGCCCCCAGCGTTGTGCTGGAACGGCAGTTTTGACAAAGTTAGGGTTGTTTTAGGGGTAAATTGGGCAAGTTTCCTTACTCAACACACACACGCCTCTGTTTACCTAATAGTAAGTAGGAACCCGGTTAGTTAGTCAATTGGTGGATCGCTTTTCTGGGGGGAATAATCGCTTCAAAATAAATAATAGTAATTTGGTCGCTCAATCCACGACTGTTCGTGGGATGTTGCTGTGTGAAATTGGCTGCCGCGTTTCGCCAACAACACACATTCACTACACTTTACAGTATGTTCTGTGAAGCGCTTTGAGACGTCTCGAAGATGTGATAAGGCGCTATAAGAAATACAAGGATTATTATTATTATAAATTGGTTTTAATTGTGATTTTTAAAATTATAATCAGTGATCACAGAACTGAAAGTGATTGTGTCAAACAAAGGTGAGGAGAGAGGGAGAGCAGAGGGTTAGAATTTATTGATTGATTTATTGGTATTCATTGTTTTATGTATTGATTTAGTGATTTTTTAAATCTAGTTAGTTGTTCATTCATTCATTCATTCTCTCGTTCCCTTGTTTGTTACCTCATTCCTTCCTCCTTGCCTTTTTTCCTTCCTTTCTTTCTTTTCTTCCTTCCCTTCATTCCCTCCCTCCATCCTTCCTTCCCTCCTTCCTTCCCTCTCTTCCTCCTTTTATTCATTTTCTGTCCGTCCATCCAACTGCCTCCTATTAATAATAATTTTGAATAATAATAATGATAAACATCTCAATATTAACCTTTGACTTTGCTCCCACAAAATATACAATCAATTCACTTTACCATATTTTCTGTGAAGCGCTTTGAAATGTGTCAAAGACGTGATAAGGCGCTATATTAAATGCAAGGATTATTATTATTATTATTTTCTCTTTGACACGGATGACAGAAGAAGAGTTAAAACGTGCCCAGCGCAGTAAGTTTCTGACTACATGCACAACCAACATTAATCATGGAGTCCTGTAGCTCAGCGGTTAGAGCACTCGTCTCGCGAGCAAGAGTAGGAACCTGCTTGTTAGACAATTGGCAGATAGCTTTTCTGGGGGTCATAATCCCACAAAATACACAGCCATCCCACTTTGTAGTATATTCTTTGACGTGCTTTCAGAAGTCTCGAAGACGTGATAAGGTGCTATGTCAAATGCAAGGATTATTATTATTGCTATTGTTATAAGATTTCTTTCACTCCTCTGCCTATTTTCAGAATGCGATGCTACTTCAGGTAAGAACTTGGTGTCTCTTTGACCGAAGGTTAATTCGTAATTTGATGGATTCATTGATACATTCATCACAGCGCCTTATAACATTGGGAGGATGTCTCAAAGCGCTTCGCCTGATTTTCATGACAAAGTGTATGTGACTGTATATTTTGTGGCAAAGCTTGTGCACAGTCAATTCACTTTACAGTATATACTTTAAAGCGCTTTGAGACGTCCGAAGACGTGATAAGGCGCCACATCAAATGCAATAATTATTATTAATAATATCTAATTTGTGAATATTTTCTCTTGATCTCTACAGATTTTGAGAAATTAGTTCTCGAACGAGATGAAGCTGGTAAGTACATTTGTTTTTAGGTCAGCCAGGTGTCTGACACACACGCACGCACGGAAACCCATCACCGTGATCATCCGGGTGTCTGACACACACACACACACACACACACACACACAAACATACACATGGGAACCCGTCACCGTGATCAGCTGGGTGTCTCTCTCTCTCACACACACACAAACACACACATGGAAACCCGTCGTCGTGAACAACTGGGTGTCTGACACACACACGCATGGAAACCCATCACCATGATCAGCTGAGTGTCTGACACACGCACACACACACACACACACATACACACACACATGGAAACCCGTCACCGTGATCAGCTGGGTGTCTGACACACACACACACACACACGTACACACAAGGAAACACACACGGAGAATGGCTGCCTCTCTCTCTCTCTGTGTTGGCGCAGATTGGCAAGAGCCAAGGTTTGGGGGAACCCAGAGTGTGTGTCGTCTGTGTGTGAAAGTGAGTGTGTAAACCTGTGACATTAATGTGAAACATTTTTTCACAGAGAAAAATCTACGCAAAGCAGAAGCAGGTATATGATTGCTGTTATTCTCTTGTACAGTCTCGGAAATCACAGTCTAAGATGACGCTTCAGTGCAGCGCTGGGGGGAGAGAGAGAAAGAGCATCGCATTGTCGGAGGCGCCGTCCTTCGGATGAGACGTTAAACCTCACTCACTGCTCCTCCCTCACCGTCTGTGCCCTGTTCAGGACGGAGGTTAAAGATCTGCGGTGCTGTTGGGAAAAGAGAAGGGAGTTTCTCTCTCTATCTGGAGTCCTGTAGCTCAGTGGTTAGAGCACTCGCCTCGCAAGCGAGAGGACTTGGGTTCAATCCCTGGGCTGGTCCAGGGCTAAACGTTGGGCAAGTTACTCCTTATTCCACGCACTTGCTTGGTTGTTAGTCGATTGGCGGATCGTCTTTGTGGGAGTAATAAACCCTTCAAAAAAAAATAGTAATAATTTGGTCACTCAATCCACGACTGTTTGTGGGACACTGATGTGCGCAATTGGTTGCTGCGTTTTGCACACAAGACATGCAGTCGATTCGCTTTACATTGTATCCTGTGAAGCGCTTTGAGACTTTGCGAAGATGTGATAAGGCGCTGTATTAAATGCAAGGATTATTATTATTAATATTTTTATTATTCAACTTTGTTTATTAAATCTTCGCAGTGATGATTTTTCGTCAAGAGGGAGGTTTGTGCTAGTAATTTACTGCGATTGACTAAATTGACTCATACGCCTTATATCTCTCTCTCTCTCTCCCTCTCTCTCACTGTCTGCGTCTCTTTCACTCTCTCTTTCTCCCCCTCTCCAACACCAGGCTCCATGACCCTGTCATCTCCACCCTCCACTGGCTTCCCATCCCCCAGAGATCAAGATCGAGTTAGTGGAGTCCTGTAGCTTAGTGGTTAGAGCACTCGCCTTGCAAGCGAGGGGAACTGGGTTTGAATCCCGGCAGTGCGAAACCTTATGCAAGGCTCCTTACTCCACACACGTGCCTCTTGTTCACCTAGCAGTAAGCAGGAACCTGGTTGTTAGTTGATTGGTGAATCGCTTTTCCGGGTGCAATAATCCCTTAAAAAAATAATAATTTGGTCACCCAATCCACGACTATTTGTGAGACTGCTGCGTGCAATTGACTGTCGCGTTTCGCCCACAAAACACACAGTCAATTCACTTTGCTGTGTATTCTGTGAAGCACTTTTGAGACGTCTCGAAGACGTGATAAGGCACTATATCCAATATAAGGATCATTAAGATCCTCGTCCTCAACTTTAAAGCCCTCCATGGCCAAAATTACAATCCGTCCCCATTCCCTGCCGTCTCACAAGGAACAAACTATCAATTTTCTTTTCTTTTCAGCACTAAAATTATTTCTCACACAAAAGGAAGAGATTGGTAAGTTTCAGTCAAGTTTACACCTTCACACACACGTGTGTGTTGTGTGGTGTGTGTGTGTCACTGTGTGTGTGTGTGTGCCAGTCGCTCGCTCTCTCGCCTCCGATTCAGAAATTTGTGGGTTCGAGTGCCCCCCCGACCACACAAACACACACTCCACTAACACACAAACATGAAGGGACGTAGTCCAAGCTGATCTTCCAGTGGAGCTCTGGTGGGAGAGAGAGTGCAGCATTGTCGGTGACGCCATCCTTCGGATGAGACATTAAACCCCATTCACTACCTCCCTCCCTCCACCGTCTGTGCCCTGTTCAGGGCGGACGTTAAAGATCTCCCGCGGCGCTGTCGGGAAAAGAGAAGGGAGTTTCTTTCTCTCGCTCTCCTGGTGTCCTGGCCGACAATACCCCCAGAAAAAATTGCTTGTTCACTCGCTTCGCGACTGTTTGTGGGGACGTCGCTATGCGCAAAACAACACACACAGTCACTACACTTCACGGTGAAAGTCCCACGAAGCGCTTTAAGACGTCTTTTCTCCCTCCCGACTTATTAATAAAATGAGGAATATTAAAATCTAACCCAGATTAATGTGATAACATGTTGGATTGTTGAATCGTGACTGTAGAGAGCGATTTGGAACACAAGAAAACAGGTGATTGAACATATATATATTGTTTGCAAATGTATCACAGGGAAAATTAAAAAAAAAACTTACATTTAACGTAGCGCCTTATCACATCTTTGAGACGTCCCAAAGTGCTTCACAGGATACACTGTGAAGTGTAGTGACTATATTTTGTGGGCGAAACGCGGAAACCAATTGCGCACGGCAGTGTCCCACAAACAGTCATGGATTGAAGTGATAAAATTATACTTTTTTTTGGAAGGGATTATTACCCCCGGAAAAGCGATCCGCCAATTGACTAAGAACAGGGTTCTTGCCCTGACCTGCCTGGGAATTGAACTCAGGTCCTCTCACTTGCGAGGCGAGTACTCTAACCACTGAGCTATAGGACAACACGTGTGAAAGAAATACAGTAGTTATTTGTTACACTTCACTTTGATCGTGAGGATTATTTATTATTAATTACTATTTATAATTTTTTTGTAGAAATGGAAGAGATACTGAAGGAGACAAGTGAGTATTAAGTGGTGCAATGTTCTCGCTCGCTCTCATTCTCTCTCAGTCTTTTCCTCTCTCTATCTCTCTTTCCTCTCGCTGTCTCTGTCGCTTTCTCAATCTCTATCTCTGTCTGTCTCTCTCGTTCTCTCTCTCTGACTCTTCCTCTTAAAGGTTAAAGTGTGATTATCCATGTCTTTACCTAACAGAAGAGAGACAGACTGAACTGAAAGCAGGTAGTTAAAGGTTTAAAGTACAATAAAGCTTGATATTTTATTCAGAGTCCTATATTTAGTATTTGTATTTAGTATAGCTTGGTAACATAATAAAGCTTTGCATTTATATTTGGTGTAGCTTGATCATTATAATCGCACCTTCGAGACGTTTCAAAGCGCTTCACAGGATATACTGTAAAGTGAATTGACCGTATTTTGTGGGCAAAGCACGGCAGCCAATTGCGCACAGCAGTGTCCCACAAACAGTCGTGGATTAAGTGACCAAATTCTCATTATTATTGTTTTTATTTATTTATTTATTTTGATGGAATTATTACCCCCAGAAAAGCGTATGTGCCAATTGACTAATAACCGGGTTCCTGCTAGGTAAAACAGAGGCGTGTGTGGAGTAAGGAAACTTGCCTAAGGTTTCTCACTGACCCGCCAGGAATCGAACCCAGGTCCTTGCGAGACAAGTGCTCTAACCACTGAGCTACAAGACTCCACGCAAATACCATCCACACTAAACTCAGGAGAGAGGGAGGGAGAGAGCGAGGGAGGAAGGAAGGGAAGGTGGCTGAAATCAAAGAATGTTGATTTTGATTTTCCAATCCAATTCTGTGTCCCAATTTTCCGCAGAAATTAATCAACTTAGAAAAACTCTGGAGGAGGAAGGTAAGATTTGGGGACTTGGAACTCATATAGTCGAAGCTCACACTCCAGCGCAGTGCTGGGGGATGGAGAGCGAGGGAAAGTGCCGCAATGTCGGAGACGCCGTCCTTCGGATGAGAGGTTAAACCTCGCTCACTCCCTGCCTACTCGTCTGCGCCCTGTTCAAGGCGGACATTGAAGGGAGTTTCATTCACTCTCGTATCTCTCATAAATAAATAATAATAATTTGGTCACTCAATCCATGAATGTTTGTGGGACACTGCTGTGCGCAATTAGCTGCCGTGTTTCGCCCACAAAACTGCACTTTACAGTATATTCTGTGAAGCGCTTTGAGACGTCTCGAAGACGTGATAAGGCGCTATTATCAAATGCAAGAATTATTTATATTATAGATCAGAGACTGATTAGGAAAAAAGACGGTAAAAATATGAATTGAAACTGGAATTGAATCGAATTAATAAAACATTTCATAACTTATCTCCCTCCGTCCCTCCCTCCCTTCCTCCCTCACCTCATCCCATCTCCGTCTCAAGAACACTCACTCACTCACTCACTCACTCACTGCTGTGCGCAAATGGCTGCCACGTTTCACCTACAACATATACAGTCACTACACTTTACAATGTATCCTGTGAAGCGCTTTGAGACGTTTCGAAGACGTGATAAGGCGCTGTATCAAATTCAAGGATTATTTATATGATCAAACTCAAATTTGTATTGTAAAATACGATTTGGGGATAAAAGGGATTTATTTAGGAAACAGTGATATTTATTTTCTGATACATTGCAAGTAACACACTATATTTCTGTTTATTTCTCTCCCCCCCAAAAAAAATCAAACATACAGAATTTGAGATGTGCAAAAAAATAAGTGAGTACTGGATACAACAACAACAGCATTACATTGTATAGCGCCTTTCACGTCGGAAGGACATCCTAAGCCGCTGAATAAATAATAACATATGAACCTTTATTTTTCCCTTCTTTATTCTCCTTTAAAATCTAATTATTGATGATGTTGAGTTGGAGTCCTGTATCTCAGTGGTTAGATCACTCGCCTCGCAAGCATTTAATTCCCGGCAAGTCAAGTTGGCCAAGTTTCCTTATTCCTCACACACATCGCAATAAGTAGGAACCTGCTTGTTAGTCGATTGGCGGATCGCTTTTCCGGGAATAATAATCCCTCCAAAACAAAATGATAATAATTTGGTCACTCAGTCCACGACGACTTGTAGAACACCTCTGTGTGCAATTGGCTGCCACGTTTTGCCTACAAAATATACACTTTACAGTGTATTCCGTGAAGCGCTTTGAGATATCTTGAAGACGTGATAAGGCGCTATATCAAATGTAAGGATTATTATTATTGATGGTGTTAATAATTATTAATTGGTTATTACAATTTGTTTTACAGACAAATTGGACATCGAAAACGGTAAAATTCACATTTACTCCCTTTCATGTCAGGAGGACATCAAATTAATTAAAAACTCCGTCGCCCAGAGACTCACCCTCACAAAACTCCGTCGTTCCCCCGCCATCACCCCAGTCCTCTCCAGGTTCCACTGGCTTCTTACCTCACAAACACAGTAAACTCCGTACCACCTTCACAACAGTCCTCGCCAGGCTCCACTGGCTCCCCCTCACACACATTAAACTCCGTACCCCTAATGTTTTGCCCTGACCCTCCCGGGAATCAAACCCAGGTCCTCTCGTTTGCGAGGCAAGCGCTCTCACCACTGAGCTACAGGACTCCACGTCAAATGCCAGTCATTGACCTATTTGGAGATTTTTTTTTGGAGGAATGTCAGACTCATTTACGTCTTCATTCCACAGAGAAAGAAATACAAAATAAGTTGAAGGAAGGTAGGCAAATAAATTGATATCGAAAAAGATAAGGGAATTTCTTTTCTCTCATTCTATCTCTCTTTCTCTGTCTACCCTTCGGGCGCTTGTCTCCCTCTCGATGTCCCAGATAAAATTGCTCGCTTGGGATATTTGCAGTGTCAATGGCTAACTGTTTGACATTTCTATTTGCAGAAAAAAAGAAATATATGGAGACTCTTAAAAACACAGGTAACATATATAATGGAGTCCTGGCGCTCAGTGGTTACAGCACTCGCCTCGCAAGCGAGCGGACCTGGGTTCGATTCCCGGGTGGCTCAGAGCAATACCTTGGGCAAGTTTCTTTTCCGGGAGTGATAATCCCTTCAAATACACAAAAAATAATTTAGTCACTCAATCCATGACAGTTTGCGGAACATTGTTGTGCACAATTAGCTGACCCGTTTTGCCCACAAAATATACAGTCAATTCACTTTATAGTATATCAATTGAAGTGCTTTGAGACGTCTCGAAGACGTAAAAAGGCTCAATATCAAATTCAAGGAATAATAATCATATTATTTAAACGTGATTAAATTTCATTATTTAAAGAACAATTTCTGCGGGAAAGAGAGGAAGGTGAAACGATTTTTACATCAATGATCTATTAGAAAAATAAGATTAATAAAAACTCGGAACTCATAGAGACTAACCTGACATTCCAGCGCAGCGCTGGGGGGAGAGCGAGAGAATGCTGAATTGTCGGAAACGCCATCCTTTGGATGAGACGTGAAACCTCACTCACTCCCTCCCTCCCCGACTGTGCCCTTTTCAGGGCGGACGTTAAAGATCTCCCGCAGCCTGTCGGGAAAAGAGAAGGGAGTTTCTCTCTCTCTCCCGGTCTCCCAGCCAACAATCCCCCAGATAAAATCACTCGCTCGCTTCACGGCTGTTTCCGAGGATGTTGCCGTGCGCAAAACGCACAGTCACTACACCTCACAGCTCAAAATCCTGCGAAGCGCTTTGAGACGTCCTCCCGACGTGATTATTATGACATTATTATGGCAGACTTTTTGACACACATCATCCGAAGCGCTTGTAGTCTCTGAAATGTGATAATTAACAGATTATATAATTGATTTCCAGAACTCCATAAAAATCAGGAAGGCAGAAAATACTTGGGTGAGGCTGAACGTCAAAGTATAACTAAACGATTCCATCCTTCGGCGAGATGTTATGAGCCGTGAAGTCCTGTATCAGTGGTTAGAGCACTCGCCTCGCAAGCGAGAGGACCTGGGTTCGATTCCCAGGCAGGTCAGGGCAAAATGTTGGGTAAGTTTCCTTACTACACGCACACACATACACACACACACGCCTCTGTTTACCCAACAGTTAGTAGGAAGTCGATTGGCGGATCGCTTTTCCAGGGTAATGATCCCTTCAACAAATAATAATAATTTGGTCACCCAATCCACGACTGTTTGTGGGTCACTGCTGTGCGCAATTGGCTGCCGGGTTTCGCCCACAAAATGTACAATTACTACACCTTTACAGTGTATTCTCTGAAACACTTGATATGGTGATAAGGCACTATATCAAATGCAAGGATTATTATTCTAAATGGGGGCTGCCTGTGAAATGCACAGTCACTACACTTTGCGGTGAAAAATGCTTTGAGACATCCTCCCTCTCGATATGATAAGGTGCATCGCTCGAGACGTCTCAAAGCGATTCACAGTGTCCACTGTAAAGTGCAGTGACTGTGTGACGGAAACGAAATGATTTAAATCTTCCCGTTTCAGAACATTCATTGAAGGAAAAAGATAAAGGTGAAATCTCAAAAACGAATCAAAGAATTCGAGAAATTAAAAAAAAATGTTTATAAAATAAGGAATAATTCTATCAGGTAAGGAGAAGGGAGTTTCTCTCTCTCTGTCTCCTGTTGTCCTGTCCGACAGATAAAATCGCTCGCTCGCTTCATAGCAGTTTGCGGAGACGTCAGGCACTCCGCGCAAAATGCACAGTCACTACACTTCATGGTGAAAATCCCGCAAAGCGCTTTAAGACGTAACCAGGGGCTGTATCAAATGCAAGGATTATTATTAATAGTAATATAACACTTTCCATTGTTGAACCACAGAACTCAATAAATGTCGAGACAGCAGTAAAAAANCAGGTAAAAGGAAAATAAGTCGATATATATTTATGGAACTCGGTTGATGGTTGCTTTCCTGGGGGTGATAAAAGCCCCTTAAAAAAATGCAGAATAAATAATAATAATAATAATAATAATTTGGTCACTGCTGCGTTTTGCCCACAACGTATACAGCCAATTCACTTTACAGTATATTCTATGAAGCGCTTTGAAAGATCTCAATGACGTGATAAGGCACTGTATCAAATAATAACGATAATAATCCTTGCATTTGATACAGTGCCTTATCACATCTTCGAGACGTCTCAAATCGCTTCACAGACAATACTGTAATGGGTTGTGACTGTATTTTGTGGGCGAAGCACTAAATGCAAGGATTATTATTGCTAAATCGGTTTGTTTTTTCCAGAAGAATCATTGAAGCTGAAAGTCACAGGTTGTACATACATAAAAATAATATTGCAAAATTCATCCGTTTTATTGTTTAAGGTGATTCAGTTATTGTTTTACTCGTGCCTTTTTTCCCCCCTGCAGAACTCAATAAATGTCAGGAAACTCTCAACCAAGCAGGTAACAAATCAATCTCTTAATAATAAAAAAAATTGGTTTCTTTTCTTTCGACTGTCTCATTTGCTCGCTCTCTCTCTCGCCCTTCGCGCCAGGGACTCGGAACTCATATAGTCTAAGTTGACACTTCAGAGCAGCGCTGGGTGGGGGGAGAGAGAGAGAGAGCGCACGTTGTTGGAGATGCCGTCCTTCGGATGAGGTGTCAAACCTCCCTCCCCATCTGTGTCCTGTTCAGGGCGGACGTTAAAGATCTCCTGGGGCACTGTCGGGAAAAGAGAAGAGAGTTTCTCTCTCTCTCTTTCACCCGGTGTCTTGGCTGACAATCCCCCAGATAAAATCGCCCGCTCGCTTCACAGCTGATTGCGGAGATGTCGCTGTGCAATACATTTCACTGTGCAAATCCTGCAAAGTGCTTTGAGAACTCCTCCCGTTGAAAAGCTGTATTGATTGCTATTATTACTGCTGCATTATTGTTCTTTCTCTAGAAGAAATACTGCGAAACAGGGAGACAGGTAATCAGAACAAATATAATAATAATACTAATAATAATAATCATCCTTTCATTTTGTGCAGCGCCTTGTCACATTTTCGAGACGTCTCAAAGCGCTTCACAGCTTCACAGCGCTTCACTGTAAAGTGAATTGACTGTATATTTTGTGGGTGAAACTCGTCAGCCAATTGCGCACAACAGTGTCCCACAAACAGTGACCAAATAATTATTATTATTATTTTGGAGGGATTATTAACCCTGGAAAGCGATTCACCTATCGACTAACAACTGGGTTCCTACTTACTGCTAGGTCCTCTCACTTGCTAGGCGAGCGCTCTAATTAATAATAATTTCCCCTTCCTGCAGTGTAGTGGTTAGAGCACTCGCCTCGAGAGTGGAAGGGGGAATTATTATTTTCCCTTCAATCCCCTTTTCCCTCCTCCTCCTCCCCCCACCCCTCCACAATTTGCGGTAATATTTAATGTTTTTTTTAGAATTACGGAAACATAATGAAGCTCGACTATATGCAGGTAAAGAAAGCTCTTTTTGCGAGACGATAATATTGATAATAATCATGTCTTCGAGCCATCTCAAAGCGCTTCACAGAATATAACAATAGTAATAATAATCCTTAAATTTAATGTAGCGCTTTATCACGTCTTTGAGATGTCTCAGTAAATTGACTGTATGTTTTGTGGGATTATTACCCCTGGAAAAAGCGATCCGTCAATTGATTAAGAACCAGATAAACTTGCCCAACCTTTCACCCTGACCCGCACGGGAATCGAACCCAGGTCCTCTTGCTTGCGAGGCGAGCGCTCTAACCATTTGAGATACAGGATTCCACATAATAATTTGGTGATGATGATATTGTTGGTGTTTATTTTAATTCGAATATTGATGTGAAATATATCACTGGGTTTTAGAGCAATCCCAGCGAGTTAAAGAGAAAGGTACAACAACAACTTGCATTTACATTGCGTCCCTCACGCTTGAAAGTGAAGCCAAGGGCGGGGGGGGGTGGGGGGGTGTAGGGAGAGAGAAGGGGGAGGTGACCGTAGCCATGGCTGAAGAGGAAGGTCTTCAGGCGCAACCGGAAGGAAGGAAGGGAGGGAGGAGGAGTGATAGAGGGGGAGTGTTCCAAGGTAGGAATAAGATCGGGAAAGTATTTACAAGGATTATAAATTCAATGAGAATAATTAATAATAATTCGATATATCATAATAATAATCCTTGCATTTGATATATCGCCTTATCAAGTCTTCGAGACTTCTCAAAGCGCTTCACAGAATATACTGTAAAGTGAATTGACTGTATTTTGGGGGCGAAACACAGCAGGCAATTTGCGCAGAGATGTCCCCACAAACAGCCATGAAGCAAGCGAGCGATTGGAACGTTGATTGTTTGAGATTTTGCCACTGAGATCAATCCTATTTTACTCCAGAAATAATGGAGAAACAGGAAACTCTTCAGAAAACTGGTACGATTATGATTTTTTTCACACAAATAATAACATAATAATCCTTGCGTTTGATACAGGGCTTCGAGACGTCTCAAAGCACTTCACAGGATACACTGTAAAGTGAATTGACTGTATATTTTGTGACAACCAATTGCGCACAGAAACATCCCACAAACAGTCGTGGATTGAGCAACAAAATTATTATTTATTTTGAAGGGATTATTACCCCCAGAAAAGCGATCCTCCAATCGACTAACAACCGGGTTCCTACTTACTACTAGGAAAACAGAGGCACGTGTGTGGAGTAAGGAAACTTGTCCAATGTTTCGCCCTGACCTGCCCGGGAATCGATCCCAGGTCTCTCGCTTGCGAGGCGACTGCTCTAACCACTGAGCTACAGGACTCCAAATGCAAGGATTATTATTATTAAAAATATCAATTGAAACTTTATTTTCTTTTGTTTCCCAGAACAATTGATGGAGGATTTAAGGATAGGTATTTATTCCAATAAAAGTTTTTCTGGTTTAAATGCGCTCGTAGCGTTTACATTTGTTTAATTTTTTTGAAATTTTAATTTAATTCAATTTTTTTTTAATCTTTTATCAAAATTTGAAATGTTAATTAATTCTGTCATTCAACCGAGACTTTTAAACCCCTTTTTTCCTTCTAATTCCTCAGATCTAAAACGGTGTCAGTTATCTTTGAAAAAAAGAGGTAAGATTATATTTTTTAATTAAGATCTTCTTTTCAAATCCCTTCGTGCCTTGACACCTCCTACCTCTCCGATCTGTTATACCCCCACTCCACCATCTGCTGCCTCTGCTCAACTGGCTTCGGCCTCTTATTTGTCCCTCGTGACTTCTGTTCCACCATTGGTGGCCCCACTTTCAGCCACTGCTCCCCGAAAATCTGGAACACTCTTCCTCTATCCCTCCGCCTTGCCCATTCCTTCCTTCCCCATCTGCTCTGAAGACCTTCCCCTTCGATTGTACCTATGGTCACCTCCCTCTCCCCCTTTCCCAGCCTCCCCGTGAAGTACTTGGAGACATCCTCCCTCCCGACGTGATAAGGCACCGTGTAATAATAATATCATAATAATGATTGGAAATTATCACGGAATGTTATAATTCAACAGACGAAGCCGTGCCTGCATTGCAGAAAGGTAATTAATCAACTAAATTTAATTACGATTCATTGGGTTTTAATTGCATTTTCTTTACTGCTGTTCGTTTCGCCCATAAAATATAGTCGATTCACTTTACAGCGTATCCTGGGAAGCGCTTTGAGACGTCTCAACGACATGATAAGGCGCTGTGTTGAAATCAAGGATTATTCTTCTTATTTTATACAAAATATTAAATGCTGGTTGTTAGAGGATTGGCAGATCGCTTTTCCTAGGGGTAATAATCCCTCCGAAAAAAATAATAATTTGGTCACTCAATCCAGGGCTGTTTGTTGGACGCTGCTGTGCGCAATTGACTGCCGCGTTTCACCCACAAAACACACGCTCACTGCACTTTTCATTAAATCCTGTGAAACGCTTTGAGACATTTAGAACACGTGATATGGTTCTTTATCAAATGCAAGGATCATTATTGTTCTTATTACAAGCTGCGAAATCCCGTCAGACATAGTTTGAGAAAAATAACTTTTCTTTTCTCACATGCAGAACTCAGTGATTGTAAAAATAGCCTTGAAACATCAGGTAAACATATTTCTCTCCTTTCACCTCTTCCCCACCTTAACCTGTCTTTGTGGAGTCCTGTAGCTCAGTGGTTAGAGCACTCGCCTCGCAAGCGAGAGGACCTGGATTCATTTCCCGAGCAGGTTAGGGCGAAATGTTCGGCAAGTTTCCTTGCTCCAAACGCACGTCTCTGTTTACCTGGAGCTAAGTAGGAACCCACTTGTTAGTCGATTGGCGGATCGCTTTTCCGAGGGTAATAATTCCTTCAAACAAAAATAATAATAATAATTTGGTCACTCAACCCACGGCTGTTTGTGGGACTGTGCTGTGCGCAATTGGTTGTCGCGTTTCGCCCACAAAATATACAATCAATTCGCAGACGTCTGAAAGCGCGTCGCAAAGTATACTGTTAAGTGTAGAGGATGTATAATTTGTAGGTGAATCGCAACAATTGCGCACAGTCGTGGATTGAATGACCAAATTATTATTATTTTCGAAGGGATTTTTACCCCTGGAAAAGCGATCCGCCAATCGACTAACAACCGGATTCCTAATTACTGGTCGGTAAACAGAGGCGTGTGTGTTGTGTGGAGTAAGGAAACTCGCCCCACGCCTTGCCCTGACCTGCCTGGGAATCAGGACTCCATGATGATGTTGTTTATGATGTTGATGACATTGATTGTTAATAATAATAATAATAATTATGTTTATAGAGGAATTGATGAGACAAAAATCAAGAGGTAAATACATTGGTCGTTTATTTTTCCCCATTTTCTCCCAATTTCTATATTTTTTTGTCTCGAGACCCCCTCCTCCCGCAGCCCACTTGACAGAGAGAGTGAAAGAGAAAAATAGGGAGAAAGAGAGAAGGCAAATAGAGAGAGAAAGAGCACATTCCATCCCAATAGGCTACCGTGTTTCATCCACAAATATTCAGTCAATTCACTTTACAATATATTTTGTGAAGCGCTATTGAGACGTCTCGAAGACGTGATAAGGTGCTGTGTCAAATGCAAAGATTATTATTATCCCAGATATGGGAAGATTTCCATGGGTAGCTAATGTGCTTGGAACATTCAGTCTGAATTTAGAGACTCTTTAAGCATGGGGACAGGTTTCCGCGTGTGTATGTCAGGCACCCGGCTGAACAGAAACAAAGAATGGAATAGTGTTTTTAGTAATGTAGAAATGGGAGGAGGCCATTCAGCACTTCATGGCTGATCTGTACCTCAAGTCCAATTACCTGCCCTTGCCCCATATCCCTTGATAATAATAATAATAATAATAATAATCCTCGCATTTGATATAGCATCTTGGAGAAGTCTCAAAGTGCTTCACAGAATACATTATAAAGTGATCAAATTATTATTATTTTTTTGAAGGGAATATTACTCCCAGAAAAGCAATCCGCCAATTGACTAACAACCGAGTTCCTACTTACTCCTCGGTAAACAGAGGCGTGTGTATGGAGTAAGGAAACTTGCCCAACATTTCGCCCCGTCCGGAATCGAACCCAGGTCTCTCGCTTGCGAGGTGAGCGCTCTAACCACTGAGCTACGGGAATCCACTTAATACCCTGACCTAACAAATAGATAATAACAAAATAGAAATTTTGGATAATACATTGACATTTCCTTTCCCCTCAGAACTGAAAGACTGCAACGCCACACTGAAGATAACAGGTAAAATTAAACTGCTGTGAATTTATATCCTCGCTACCTATCCGATCTGCTTCTCTCCCTACAACCCACCACCCGCTGCCTCCTCTAGACTGGCTCCAGTCTCCTGTTTGTCCCTCGTGCCCTCCATTCCACCATTGGAGCCGAGCTTTCAGCCACTGTGCCCCAAAATTCTGGCACACTCTTCCTCTAAACCTCCACCTTGCCCCTCTATCCATCTCTATTTCTCTCCCTCCCTCCCTCCCCACACACACACACACACACACAAAACACCCCCCTCTCTCCCCTCAACACGGTTTCACTGCCGATCAAGAACTCTTGTTGCATTTAAATATAATTTTTAAAAAATCCTTTTATTTTTGCAGAAGATGAAGTGAATGTTTTGAAGAATGGTAAAAGCGTTTTTAGATTCTCCGACACTCTACTCTGTGTGAAAGTGATTTGTGTAGAAGTTGATGTTGTTGATGATGATGATTTTAAAATAATAAAGGGATTTGAGAGGGTAGATGCAGGGAAACTCTTTCTTCTGGTGGTTAGGGGGAATCCAGAATCAAGTGGTGTCCAGCAGCTCAAGTGGTTAGAGCACTTGCCTGGCAAGTGAGAGGACCTGGGTTCGATTTCCGGACGGGTCAGGGCGAAAAGTTGGGCAAATTTCCTTGCAGTAAGAAATCTGTTTGTTGGTCGATGGGCAGGTCGCTTTTCCGGGGGTAATAATCTGTTCAAAAAAGTATAAATATAAAAATAAAACTAATAATTTAGTCACTCAAACCATGACTGTTTGCAGGACACTGCTGTGCGCAATTGGTTACCGTGTTTGATCCACAAAATATACAGTCACTACACTATACAGTATATTCTGTGAAGCGGATTGAGACGTCTCAAAGACACTATATCAAATGTAATTATTATCATTATTATTGCTTGTTATCAAGATATCGTAACCTTCAAGGAATCAATGGCAACCACGGGTAAGAGATAGTTTGTTTTGTTTGGTTTATTTATTGTAATATCCAGGATTAAATAAACAACAACAAAATGACATTTACACGGTGCCCTTCACATTGGGAGGACGTCCCAAGGCCTGGACAGCCAGCAATTTGGACCCAAGCTGGGGATTGGGATCAGGAGGGGTGGAGGGCAGGGAGGCTGGGCGTAGGAGGTTGACCGAAGGTGCGGTTGGTCGAAGAGGAAGGTTTTGAGACGAGTCTTGAAGGATGAACGGGAGGTGGGGGGGGGTTGGGTGGAGGAACTGTGGGATGGAGTTCCAGAGGGTGGGGGCAAACAAACTAGGTTTTTTAAGGAAGCGTTATAATTCGGTCAATGCAACAATTAATATGCCTCTGCCAATTATTATTTTGAAGACAAATTAATGATTGAAAAAAAGAAAGGTAAACACAAGATATAGAGCGGAATTTCTGTCCTTTACTTGTTTTGCGTTCAAAAATATAACAGACACACACACACACTTGTCGGGGACTTGGAACTTGTAATCTAGGGGAAAAGAGAGAGAGAGCCCTACATCGTCGGAGACTCCGTGCTTCGGATGAGACGTTAAATCTCACTCTCCCTCCCCCTCTGTGCCCCGTTCCCTGTGGCGGACGTTAAAGATCCCCCGCGGCGCTGTCGGGAAAAGTGAAGGCAGTTTCTCTCTCCCAGTGACCTGGCCGACAATAAAATAAAATAAAATCAGATCCCCCTCGCCTCACGGCTGTTTTCGGGAATGTCGCTCTGCGCAAAACGCACAGTCACGTCACGGTGAAAAATTTGTTTTTTGGTCAAATCAGCAGTGTCTTCTGATACTTTTTTTGGCTGTGTTTCTGTCTCCTCACAGAGCTGCTTCGCTATCAGGAGGATTTAAGGAACAAAGGTATAAGCTTAACAACAAATAAAATCGATCGCTCGCTTTACAGTGGAGTCCTGTGGCTCAGTGGTTAGAGCACTCGCTCACAAGCGAGAGGACCTGGGTTTGCTTACTGGGCGGGTCAGGACAAAACATTGGTCAAATTTCCTTACTACACACACACACCTCTGTTTACCTAGCAGTAAGTACAAACCTGGTTGTTAGTCGATTGACAGATCGCTTCTCCAGAGGTAATAATTCCTTCAAAAATAATAATAATTCGGTCACTTAATCCACGACTGTTTGTGGGCCACTGTTATGCACAATTGGCTACTGCGTTTCCCCCACAAAATACTGTAAACTACACTTTACAATATATTCCGTGAAGCGCTTTGAGACGTTTTGACGTGATAAGGCGCTATGTCAAATCCAACGTTTTTTTTTATTATTGTTGGAGTTAGACTGATTCCCTGAACCTTGCTCTTTTTCTTGATTTGTTCTTATTCTTATTTCAATATCGAAGACATGTTGACGATTTTAAAAATTGTTTTTTCCACACAGAAAGTACGCTCGAAGCCAAGAACAAAGGTTGTTCAAGATTGATGTCAAGATCATCTCACTTGTTTTCAAATCCTTTCACGTCCTGGCACCTCTCTACATCTCCGATCTGCTTACCCCCACCCCTCCCCACTCCACCACCCATTACCTCCTTCTCGTCTCTCGTGCCCTCCATTCCACCATTGGTGTCCGCACTTTCAGCCATCACTCCCCGAATCTCTGGAGCACACTCCCTCAATCCCTTCACCTTGTCCTCTCCTTCCTTCCCCATTTTCAAGTCACGCCTGAAGACCTTTCTATTCGACAGTCACTACATTCACAGTATATCCTGTGAAGCGCTTTGAGACGTATCGAACACGTGATAAGGCGCTCGATCATATTGTTAAAATCAGTCTCCCATCTGTGCCCATCCAGGTGGTTGTTAAAAAAAGGCCAGTGTTATCGTTTTGTTTAAAACAAAATCTGTACGTATTTCTGTTTTTCAGAACTCAAATTGCTTCAGCTTGCCCACAGCAAAGCAGGTTAGTGTGCGGATAGCGAAGAGTTAAAATTACTAATCATAATAATAATCCTTGCATTTGATATAGCGCCTTATCATGTCTTTGAGACATTTCAAAGCGCTTCACAGAATATACTGTCAAGTAAATTGACTGTATGTTCTGTTGGTGAAACGCTGCAACCAATTGTGCACAGCAACGACCCATAAACAGTTATGGATTGAGTGACCAAATTATTCCTATTATTATATTTTTGAAGGGATTATTACCCCCAGAAAAGTGACCCGCCACTCGCCTAATAACCGGGTTCCTACTTACTGCTAAGTAAACAGATGCGTGTGTGTGGAGTAAGGAAACTTGCCCAATGTTTCGCTCTGACCCACCCGGGGATCGAACCCGGGTCCTCTTGCTTGCGAGGCGAGTGCTTTAACCACTGATCTACAGGACTCCCATCTGTGCCCATTCAGGTGGATGATTGTTAAAAGAACCAGACGGGAGACCAGATGAGGAGACATTTTTTCACACAGTGAAAGAGAGCTGTTAACAGTCTGAAACGCACTAACTAAAAGAGTGGTGGAAACAGCTTCAATAAAAAATTTCAAAAGGGAATTGGATAGGTACTTGAAAAGGAACAATTTGCAATGATTTAGGGAAAGAGTGGCAGAGCGGGACTGATTGGGTCGCTCTCTCAAAGAGCTGGCACAAGCACAAGGGACCGAATGGCTTCCTTCTGTGCTGTAATATTCTATGATTCTATGAGAGAGGGGAGCTAAAGGGGGGAATGGGGGTAAGGCGGAGGGGGAGAGGAGGATTTGAATGCACGTTAATCGCGACGTTTGCGTCTGCAGGTTCTTGTTACAGCAAACAAACATTGTCTTTTTTTTCCAACAAAAGAGAAATTGGTGGAGAAACTTGAAAAAGGTAGATTTAAGTTATTGTTGATGATGTGGGGTTTTTTTCTTTGTCAGCCGGGTGTCTGACACACACGGAAACCCCTCACCGTTGCTTTAGAGTCTCCAAAACCACCTGAGGATTCCATACATCCCACCTACACATGGAGTTCCCAGAGGTAGATTGTCAGAATGGAATTGCACTCTCTCTCCCTGGAGGGACGCACGTGCTTACCTAATTCCGGAGAGTATTAGGCACAGGTTGGTGAGAGCCAAGGCTTGCGGGGAGCCCAGAGTGTGTGTTGGAGGTAACTGCTGGAATCTAACCAGCTAAAACTACATAGCTTGCCATTGAGAGCACTGTCTGGCAAGTTTTCCAGCTGCTTGTCCAGCTAGGACAACCCTACCCGTTAGTTAGTGCTTTGGCTTGCAGGGTTAATAGGAACTGATTGGAAGGATTCCCTGCCCCTTGATGTTGATGATGATGTTGATGTTCCTTTCACATATTTTTATCCAGATATAAACTCGATGAAAACCGATGCAGGTATAAATGTCTGTTGCTTGCAACAAGAGATCACTGATTTAAGATAGTCAGCGAATGTATTATGTTACAATCATCGTAATAATAAACCTTGCATTTGATATAGCACCTTATCATGTCTTCTAGATGTCTCAAAGCCCTTCACAGAATATACTGTCAAGTAACTTGACTGTATGTTTTGTGGGTGAAACATGACATCCAATTGTGCACAGCAACGAACCACAAACAGTCATGGATTGAGTGACCGAATTATTTCTATTATTATTTTTTTTGAAGGAATTATTACACCTGGAAAAATGATCCACCAATCGACTAACAACTGGGTTCCTAGTTACTGCTAGGTAAACAGAGGCGTGTTTGTGGAGTAAGGAAACTTGCCCAACATTCACCCTGACCCACCCGGGAATCGAATCCAGGTCCTCTCGCTTGTGAGGCGAGTGCTCTAACCATTGATCTACAGGACTCCCAAGATAACTGGCAAAAGAACCAGAAGGGAGACCAGACAACGAGACATTTTTTCACACAGTATGGAAAGCACTGCCTGAAAGGGTGGTGGAAACAGCTTCAATAAAAAGCTTCAAAAGGGAATTGCATAGGTACTTGAAAAGGAACAATTTGCAAGGATTTAGGAAAAGAGTAGGGGAGTGGGACTGATTGGGTAGCTTTTTCGAAGAGCTGGCACAGGCCTGATGGACCAAATGGCCTCCTTCTGTGCAGTAATATTCTATGATTCTATGAGAGAGGGGAGCTTGAAGGGACGAATGGAGGTAAGGGGGAGAGGAGGGGTTGAATGCACGTTAATCACGACGTTTCCGTCTGCAAGTTGCAAACAAACATTGTCTTTTTCTTTAAACAAAAGAGAAAATGGTGGAGAAACTTGAAAAAGGTAGATTTAAGTTATTGTTGATAATGTGTTTTGTTTTTGTTCAGCCGGGTGTCTGACACACACGGAAACCCCTCACTGTTGCTTTAGAGTCTCCAAAACCAACTGAGGATTCCATACATCCCACCTACACATGGAGTTCCCAGAGGTAGATTGTCAGAATGGAATTGCACTCTCTCTCCCTGGAGGGACGCTCCTGCTTACCTAATTCCGGAGAGTATTAGGCACAGGTTGGTGAGAGCCAAGGCTTGCGGGGAGCCCAGAGTGTGTGTTGGAGGTAATTGCTGGAGTCTAGCCAGTTAAAACCAGATAGCTTGCCATTGAGAGCGCTGTCTGGCAAGTTTTTCTGCTGCTTGTTCAGCTAGGACCACCCTGCCCGTTAGTTAGGGCTTTGTCTTGGAGGGTTAACAACAACAATAACAAGATTACATTTGTATAGCGCCTTTCACGTCGGGAGGACATCTTACAGGAGCTGAGTGGAAGGATTCCCTGCCCCTTGATGTTGATGATGATGTTGCTGTTACTTTCATTTATTTTTATCCAGATATAAGATTAATGAAAGCCGCTGCAGGTATAGATCTCTGTTGCTTACAACAAGAGAGCACTGATTTAAGATAGTCGTTGTAAACAGATTCATGTTTGTGGAGTAAAGAAACTTGCCCAATGTTTCGCTCTGACCCGCCTGGGAATCGAACCCAAGTCCTTGCTTGCAATGTGAGCGCTCCACGCACTAAACTACAGATACTTAAGATTAAATGGTTTCTTCTTTGCTGTGAATTTAGCGCTTTGAAATGCTACTCTGCGTGGAGGGTGCTGTATAAGTGCAAGTTGTTGTTGTTTAATATCTGCGATTCATGATCCAAATCTAATCATTACTAAAAAAAATTGTTACTTCAAGTGGAAATAATGTCAGTCAAGGAAGCAGGTAGATATTCCTTTCGATTTGATGATTTAACTGTTTATTTGTGTGTCTCAGTCACTGGTTTATTTCTCTGTGTAAGTCGATCTAGTTTTGGTGAATGGTTGATTTTTTTNCTTTCAGAAATCACCAGAAGAACAGCATCCATGAAAGATTCAGGTAACAAGAAAACGAGCCCTATAATAATAATAATATAATAATAATCCTTGCATTTGATATAACGTCTTATCACATCTTTGAAACATCACAAAGTGCTTCACAGAATATACTCTAAAATTAGTTGACTATATTTTGTGGGCGAAACGCAGCAGCCAATTGTGCTAAACAGCGTCCCACAAACAGTCGTGAATTGAGTCATCAAATTATTATTATTTATTTTTGTTGAAGGGATTATTATTCCCGGAAACACGATCCGCCAATCGACTATCAAGTTGGTTCCTACTTACTGCTAGGTGAACAGAGGCGTGCGTGTGTGTGTGTGTGTGTGTGTGTGTGGAGTAAGGAAACTTGCCCAATGTTTCGCCCTGACCTATCCTAGGAATCGAACCTGTCCTCTCACTTGCGAGGCGAGGGCTCTAACCACTGAGCTACCGGACTGTACAGGGCAGATGTTTAAGATCTCCCGCTGTGCTGTTGGGAAAAGAGAAGGGAGTTTCTCTCTCTCTCTCTCCTGGTGTCCTGGCCGACAATCTCCCAGATAAAATCGCTCGCTCACTTGCTTCATGGCTGTTTGCGAAACACACAGTCACTACACTTCACGGTGAAAATCCCGCAAAGCGCTTTCAGACGTTCTCCCTCCATCCCGTCGTGATAAGGTGGCGTGTTGAACGCAAGGATTATTATTATTATTTTCATAATAATAATAATTATTCCTGTTTCTGCTGTTATTATCATTGTCATTTTTATTGTGATGACTGCATCTGAAACTTTTGTTGTGGGGAAGCTAAATAAGACGGGGATCAATTTATTATTATTATCAATATCTTTTATTGTCTTAAAGAACAACTGCTGAACACAAAACACAAGGGTAAATGTTTCAAAACTTCTCTTTGTATCAAATAAGTTTACTAATGTTGATTTCAGTCGCCTCACTCTCCCACCTTTACATCTCATCTCTTCGCTCCATCTTCTTATAATATAATAATAATGATCCTTGCATTTGATATAGCGCCTTATCACATCTTCGAGGCGTCTCAAAGCACTTCACAGAATATACTGTAAAGTGAATTGACAGCATGTGTTGTGGACGAAACTCGACAGCCAATTGCGCACAGCAGTGTCCCACAAACGGTGGTGGATTGAAGTGACAAAATTATTATTAATTTTATTTATTTTTTGGAGCAATTATTAACCCCAGAAAGTTATCCGCCAATCGACTAACAAGTGGGTTCCCTATTTACTGCTAGGGAGTAAGGAACCTTGCCCAATGTTTCGCCCTGACCTGCCTGAGAATCAAACCCAGGTTCTCTCGCTTGCGAGGCAAGTGCTCTAACCACTGAGCTGCAGGACTCCTTGCTTACCTCTGGAACGCGCACACCTACCAAATCCTTCCCTTGCTCACTCCCACTCTCGGGATCACGCACTGTACCATAGTAAGGATTATTGTTATTATTATTGAGTTGTCGATGTTTTTTTTCTTTCAGAACTGATAGATTGTCAACAGAAACTAAAACAGAGCGGTACGTATGGGCTTAGACCTCGTATAAAGTTGTGTGTGTGTGCATCTGTGTGTATCTGTGTGAGTGAGTGTTTGTGTTTTTGTGTGTGTGTGTGTGTGCAAATGTGTGTGTGCGTCTTTGTGTTTGTGTGTCTGTGCATCTGTGTGTGTAGGTCTGTGATTATGTGTGAGTATCTGTGTTTTTATGTCTGTTTGTGTGTGTGTGTATGTGTGTCTCTGTGTGTGCCCTGTTCAGGACAGATGTTAAAGATCTACCATGGCGCTATTGGGAAAAGAGAAGACAGTTTCTCTCTCTCTCTTTCTCTCTCTCCCCCGATATCCTACCCAAAAATCCCCCAGATAAAATAGTTTTTTGACGATATAAAAATGTACTTATTTATTTAATCACAAAAGGAGAAGATTTAAAAGCCAAAATGGAAGAGGCAAAACTGCTAAAAGAAGGTACATTTGCAAAAGTATAAAATATAGCAATAATAATTTGGTCACTCAATCCACGCCTGTTTGTGGGACGTTGCTGTGCGCAATTGGCTTCCGCGTTTCGCCCACAAAATATACAGTCAATTCACTTTACAGTATGTTCTGTGAAGCATTTTGAGGTGTCTGGAAGACGTGATAAGGCGCCATATCAAATGCAAGGATTATTATTATTATTCTGGGGTAAGACTAGGGGAGTGGGACAAGTTGATAGCTCTTTCGAAGAGCCAGACCAGGCACGATAGGCTGAATGTCCTTGTGTGCTGTAAGGATCTGTGATTCTATGATTACGTTGTTATTTTTTTTGTTTCATTTACAGAACTAAACAAGATTAAGGAAGCATTAAAGATTACAGGTAGCAAAACAGTTTGCGGAATCTAAGAATTTACAGGATTATTCACCGTGAAATGTAGTGACTGTGCTTTTAGCACAAACGGATGTGAAGCGAGTGAGGAGGGAGGGAGTGAGGTTTAACGTCTCGTCTGAAGGATGGGTATTGATGATGTAATTTAAATTAATCTTTGTTATTGTTTGAAGAATCGAACGTGCACGAAAAAGATAGAGGTAGATACTTGGAATATTCCTCGCGCCAAATAAAACTGAAAGGATTTGTTACTAACAACAACAACTTGCATTTACACAACGCCCCTCATACAGGGTAGAGTCCCAGAGAGCTTGACAGTGGCGGAGCATGACTCCGAGCCGGGTTGGCGAGGGAGAGCGAGGTGACCGTAGGCAAGGTCGAAGAGGAAGGGTCTTCAGGCGTGACCCGAAGATGGGGAAAGGAGGAGGGGGCAAGGTGGAGGGATTGAGGGACAGTGTTCCAGAGTTTCGGGGCGTCCTGGCTGAAAGCACGGCCGCTGATGGTGGAACAGAGGGCACGAGAGACAAGTGGGAAGCCGGAGCCAGTCGAGGAGAGGCAGTGGGTGGTGGAGCGGGGGGGGGTAAGCAGGTCGGACAGGTAGGGAGGTACCAGGGCATGAAACGAGTGAGAGGATCTTGAAAACAACAGTAATAATCCTCGCGTTCGACACACCTCAAAGCGCTTCGTGTGATTCTTTTTACTGTGAAATGTAGTGACTGTGCGTTTTGTGGGCTGTGTGTGTGTGTGTGTGTGTCTCTGCGTGTGTGTGGCGGGGGGTCGGGTGTGAGTGAGGGAGCATTTAACAATCTATATTTCTTTCTAGAAATCCAAAAATTCAAAGTGGCTTTGAAAAGCACAGGTCAGAAAATATTTTAAACAATTGTGCGGGAAATAGAGCATTAATTCTAAATGATGAATAATAGTAATCCTTGCGTTTGATATAGAGTCATATCACGATTTTAAGACGTTTCAAACGCTTCACGGGATAATAATAATAATAATCCTTGCATTTATATAGCATCTTATCACGGTTTTGAGACATGTTAAAGTGCTCACAAAATATACTGTAAAGTGAATTGACTGTACATTTGACATTTTTTGGCGAAAAATAAACTTTGCCATGAGGAAAATGCAATAAATTATATATTTTGGTCTTTGTTTGCAGATGAACTATTGACTGAGAAGAACAAAGGTGATTTAAATCTGATTGATATTGATATATTGATATATTTACAGTGGAGTCCTGTAGCTTAGTGGTTAGATCCCTCGCCTTGCAAGCGAGAGGACCTTTAGTTTGATTCCTTGGCGGATCAGTGCGAAACATTGGCCAAGTTTCCTTACTCCACACACACACACACACGTCTCTGTTTACCTAGCCGTAAGTAGGAACCCGTTTGTTAGTTGATTGGCGACTGATCGCTTTCCGTGGGGTAATAATCTCTATTAGAAAAATAAATAAATGATTTGGTCACTCAATCCATGACTGTTTGCGGGACTTTGCTGTGCACAATTGGCTGTTGTGTTTTGCCCACAAAACATATGGTCAATTCGCTTCATGGTATATCCTGTGAAACGCTTAGAGATGTGTCAAACACGTGATAACGCGCTGTATCAAATGCAAGGATTATTATTATATCTGTTTTATTTTGCTTCCTCAGATTTGAATAGAATGAACGAAGATCGTGCCAAGCTGGGTAAATCAGCAACTAAACAGAATTAGATTTCAGTATCTCGCCTCCGAGTCAGAAGGTTATGGGTTTGAGCCCATCACACTCGCACACACACACATCACTTGGATCAGCTGTGTGTCCTCCAGACGAGTCAGTAATCTCACTTGCACCCTCCACCGCCCCTGTCTTTTAAATTGAATTGCAGTCAGTAAAAAAAACATATTTTGTTGACGCAAAAAGGCGATTGAGGAACTCATTCGAAAGCGATAATTTCCTTTGTTTTCACAGGCGAGACAATTTTTGAAAAAGATAAAGGTTAATTTCCAAAACAGTCCTGAACACAATTGATGATGAGCTGTTTGCTTAAATGGTTCTATTCCACTCACCTGCAAGTCACTTTAAAAACTTATGTGGAGTCCTGCAGCGAGTCCTGGATTGCTTTTCCGGGGGGAAATGTTATTAATATTATTATTATTTCATTCCCAGCACTGAAGGATTTCCGCACAAGTTTGAACAAAAAAGGTAGGAAACCAATCACAAGAATCTTTAATCGTGTTTTGGTTTGATGTTGATGAGTTTGTTGATGATGTTGATGTAATAATCCTTGCATTTGATATAGCGCCTTATCACATTGTTGAGATACCTCAAAGCGCTTCACAGGATACACTGTAAAGTGTAGTGACTGTGTGTTTTGTGAGCGAAATGTGACAGCCAATTGCACACAGCAATGTCCCACGAACAGTCGTGGATGGGATGACCAAATTATTTTTATTTATTGATGATGTTGATGTTTATTTTGCTGATGTCATTTTTATTGACCCACAAACACACAAGTGATTGCCATATTTTTGTCAAAAAAAAGAGGAATTGATAAATTCAAAAGACAGAGGTAGGAATTCATGCAATTAATAATTGATTGATGTTGATAATGATGATAATCATACAAAAATAATCTTTGCATAAGATATAGCGCTTTATCACATCTTCGAGACGTCTCAAAACTCTTCGTAGAATATATGAATTTACGCAGAGAAAAGTGAATTGATTGTATATTTTGTGGGTGAAACACAGCAGCCAATTGGGCACAGTAGTGTCCCACAAACAGTCGTGACTTGAGTGAGCAAATTATTATTTATTGAAGGGCTTATTACCCCCAGAAAAGTGATCCGCCAGTCGACTAATAACTGGGTTGGTTCCTACTTACCGCTAGGTAAACAGAAGTGTGTGTGTGTGTGGAGTAAGGAAAATGGTCCAACATTTCGGCCTGACTTTCCCGGGAATCAAACCCAGGTCCTCTCACTTGTGAGGTGAGTCTAACCACTGAGCTAGAGGACTCTGCTAATATTATTATTAGCATCATTACTCTCTCGCATGTTTTAGTTCATAATTGTTTGAAACGTTCATTTGCTTTGAACTCACAGACTTGGAGAAATATCAAAAAAATCTGACTGGAACAGGTAAAGATAATATTTAATGTTGATGCATAATAGTAATTTATAGTAAGCAAAGATAACATTTTTGTGTTCTTATAAACAGGTAATAATAATAATCCTTGTTTTTGAGATCGCACCTTATCATGTCTTCGAGACGTCTCAAAGCCCTTCACAGAATATACTGTAAAGCGAATCGACTGTATATTTTGTGGGCGAAACTTGGCAACCAATTGCGCACAGCAGTATCACACAAACAGTCATGGATTGAGTGTCCAAATTATTATTTTTTTAAGAGATTATTACCCCGGGAAAAGCGATCCGCCAATTGATTAACAACCGGGCTCCTACTTACTGCTGGGTAAACAGAGGCGTGTGGAATAAGGAAACTTGCCCAACATTTCGCCCTGTCCGGGAATCGAACCCAGATCCTCTTGCTTGCAAGGCGAGTGCTCTCACCACTGAGCTACAGAACTCCACAGCTGGAACTCTCTACCTCCCTCAAAAGGCTGTGGATTATGGCTGGATCCATTCACATTTTCAAGACTGAGGTGGATAGGTGTTTGTCAGAACAGGGTACCAAGGGATATGGGGCAAAGGCGGATAATTGGACTTGAGGTATAGATCAACCACCATCTTGTAGAATGATGGAACAGGCTTGAGGGGCTGAATGGCCTACTCCTGTTCCTATGTCTCTGTGACTGTGTCAAAATGCCATTAACAATCTCGGACGCTAAACTTTGTACTTTTGTCGGACAAAAAATATTCTGGTCATGCTAAAGGAGGAAAGGTTTGTTTTTCAGAAAAGGCACTTGAAGTAAAACAAAATGGTATTTGCTCATGAAAATCAACTTATTGAGTGTAATTTTACAAACATAAGTTGTTGATGTTGATAATAACGATGTTGTTGATGTTAATAATAATAATAATATTCCTTGCATTTGATACAGTGCTTATCACGTCTTCGAGACGTCTCAAAGCGCTTCACACAATATACTGTAAAGTGAATTGACTGTATAGTTTGTAGGTGAAACGTGGCAGTCAATTGTGCACAGCAGCATCCTACTAACAGTCGTGGATTGAGTGACTAAATTATTAACATTATTTTGAAGGGATTATTACCCCCGGAAAAGGGATCTGCCAATCGACTAACAAGCGGGTTCCTACCTCCTACTAAGTAAACAGAGGCGTATGTATGTGTGGAGTAAGGAAACTTGCCCAATGTTTCACCCTGATCTGCCCGGGAATCAAACCCAGTTCCTCTCGCTTGCGAGGCGAGTGCTCTAACCACTGAGCTACAGGACTCGAATAATTGTATTGTATTAATGATGATGTTGATGTTGAATATTTTTGAATGTTGCAGAGTTGGAAGACTGTCTGTTTTTTGTGAAGACTGCAAGTAAGGATTAAGTCTCCATCAGTGGCAAAATTTAATGTCAGCATTTTCGAGTTAAAAAGAAAAAGCAACAACTGGTGACTGTCTTCCTTGGGTTACAGAACAGTCACTGGAAGACAAACAGAAAGGTTTGCAAACAATACAATACCAAGTGACATTTACACAATGCCTTTCACTCTGGGAGGACATCCCAAGGCACTGGACAGTCAGGTTCATGCCCCCCCACCGCCCCCCTCTCCTCTCGCCCTCTCTCTCTGTCCCTCACTCTCACACTCATTGTCCCTTTCTTGGTTTCTCTCTCTGACCCTCTCTATCTATCTCCTGTAGATAGGAGTCCTGTAGCTCAATGGTTAGATTGTTTGCCTCGCAAGTGAAAGGACCTGGGTTTGATTCCTGGGCGGGTCAGGACAAAATGTTGGGCAAATTTCCTTACTCCACACACACGCACACATGCTCTGTTTACCTATCAGTAAGTAGGAACTCAGTTGTCAGTCGATTGGTGGATCGCTTTTCCGGAGGTAATAATCCCTTAGAAAAATAATAATAATAATAATTTGGTCACTCAATCCATGACTGTTTGTGGGACACTGTTGTGCATAATTGGCTGCTGCGTTTCAACCACAAAATATACATCACTCCACTTTACAGTGTATCCTTTGAAGTGCTTTGAACATTTTGAATAATAATAATAATAATCCTTGCATTTGATATAGCGCTTTTCACGACTTCTAGACGTCTCAAAGCTCTTCACAGAATAGACTGTAAAGTGAATTGACTGTATATTTCTAGGCGAAATGTGGCAGCCAATTGCACACAGCAGTGTCCCACAAACAGTCGTGGATTGAAGTGACCAATTTATTATTGTTTTTTTCTTGAGGGATTATTATCAGGAGTGTGGAATAAGGAAACTTGCCCAAGTTTTCGCCCTGTCGGGAATTGAACCCAGGTCTCTCGCTTGCAAGGCGAGTGCTCTAACCACTGAGCTACAGGACTCCATACATAGGTGATAAGGTGCTGTATCAAATGCAAGGATTATTATAAAACAACATTTCTTGCTTTGCTTGTTGATTTCCAGAGTTGGAAGTTTGTCGAAAAATGCTCAAGAGCAAAGGTGAGTATTAATTAATTAATCTCTCTCCCAAACTCTCCGGGACCCTATCCCGTGTGAAGGGCATATCTAATAATAATAATTCTTGCATTAGATATAGTACCTCATCATGTACTTTAAGAGCATTTCACAGGATATACTGTAAAGTGTAGTGACTGTGTATTTTGTGGGCTAAAATGCAAGCTTTTGTTGTGTTTTTCTCTGTCTCTCTCTGTCTCTCTCTCTTTGTCTCTCTTTGTTTCTCTCTCAGTGTCTTTCTCTCTGTCTCTTTGTCTCTCTCACTCTCCTCTCTGTTCTCCTGTCTCTGTGTGCGTGTCTCTTCCTGTCTGTCTCTCTCCTTTTCGCTCCCTCCACACACACTTCCCGTTAACCCTATTTGCCAGAGATTTTGCTTTCTCTCTCTTTCGTTCTTTCGAAAGGAGAGAGGAGTTGAATGATAGATAAGAAGGAGTTAATATCAAATTGCATCTTTGCATGATTTACAGAACAGAATCTGGAAACCAAACAGAAAGGTTTGCAAACACACGGTTTACAATAATATAATAATCCTTATAATAATTTGATATCACGCCTTCGACACGTCTCAAAGCATTTCACAGAACAAATTGTTAAGTGAATTCACCGTATATCTTGTGGGTGAAATGCGGCAGCCAATTGCACCCAACAGCGTCCCCCAAACAGTTGTGGATTGAATGAACAAATTATTATTTTTTCATTTTTTGTTTTTGAAGGGATTATTACCCCTGGAAAAGCAATCTGCCAATTGACTAACAGCCGGGTTCCTACTTGAGTGTGTGTGTGTGTGTGTGTGGAGTGAGGAAACTTGTCCAACATTTTGCCCTGACCTGCCCGGAAATGCAACAACAACAAAATTACATTTATATAGCGCCTTTCACATCGGGAGGACCCAGGCGCTCTAACCACTGAGCGACTGGGCTCCGTAGGGTCACAGAGCCTGGTGCGGGAGCGAGAAAGAGAAACCACGGAGAAAAAAACGTTTTGATCTGTTTATTTGATTCTAGAAACTGATGAATGTCAAAAAGCTTTGACAAACGCAGGTGAGACTGAGTTTCCTGTTCTCTCTTTGTGTTGAATATAAATAGTCTAAGTTGACGCTCCAGCGCAGCCCTGGAGGGAGAGAGAGAGAAAGCGCTGCATTGTTAGAGACGCCATCATTCGGATGAGACGTTAAACCTCGCTCGCTCACTCACTCCCTCCCGTTCAGGGCGGACGTTCAAGATCTCCCGCGGTTGCTGTTGGGAAAAGAAAAGGGAATTTCTCTCTCTCTCTCTCTCTCCCGGTGTCCTGGCCGACAATCCCCCAGATAAAATTACTCGCTCGCTTCACAGCTGTTTGCGGGGACGTCGCTGGGCGCAAAACAAAACGCACAGTCACTACACGGTGAAAATCCCAGGCAGCGCTTTGAGATGAGAATAAAAAAGGTTATTTGGATTAATATTCCACAGCAAAACTATTTTCTGAAAAAGACAAAGGTACATCATTTAGAGTATCCCACACATCTTTTTATTGTCATTATTATTATGATTATTATTATTATTTCGCCCACAAAATATACAGTCAGTCCACT